TGTCGGGTGAATTAAGCAGGTCTAACGGCAAGGTGGTTTTGCCGAGATCAAGCAGAGAGCAGGCAAATGCAATCTGGTTGATATCATCTGGTGGCAGGCCTAACTCCCGTGCCAGAACAGCACCCCAGACCGCGCAGGAGATGGCGTGGGAAAAAATATAGTCATCCATACGGCGCATTCGAGTCAGCGCAGCTAATGCAGTCTGATTGCGCATGACACTTTGTACCAGCGGGGTGATGGCATCTTCTATGGCATTGATGTCGAAACCGCCGTTACTCTGCAGTTTTACCACACAGGTTGAGAGGATGGCTTCCGCTTCATCCAGGGAAGTGCTGGCGCTGGGCATCTCATCATTAATACTGATGGTATTTTCATAAGCGCGTGGTGCCTTGGGTACCAGGCGTTCGCGGGCAGAGGGTTTTGTCTCTACAGCCGGATGAGGGCTACCGTTACTGACAACGGCTTTCAGTTTTACTTCGCCCAGCTTGGAGTCATAGCGGCGGGGGTCGACGTACACAAACGCACAGTTGTTTGCTATCCGTTCTATCATGCCGGCATTACGCACATAAAAACCCTGCAGGGGAAAATTGGTTTCTTCCCAGGGGCGATCAAGTTGAGCGACGTACATACCCACGGTGAGTTTCGACGGCTCTGTCTTGTGCAATCCCTTGTAGTTCGGCTGTAGATCCATGTGGCCGTTATCTGTGGGTCCTGGAACGCTGAGTTTACGGTGGTTCAGTTACAGCCTATGTGACGCGGTTGGCGTTTTCTCTGTTGGGTGTCAGGCCTGCTGAGCAAAAGTGTCAAATTTGTGGCGCGTGCGTGGGCCTATGCCCGCTACGGCTAACAACGTTCGAGAAACAGATTCAGTACTGCCTGCGCTTGCATTTATACTATGTAATACATAGTATGTGTTGCATAGAGTGTGACAGACAGTGTTTGAGCATGACTGACGAATCAGAAATTGGCGAAAAACTCCGCTCAGAAATTCGGCGCGGAGCGCTGGTGCTTGCGGTTCTGGCGCAGCTGCGCAAAGAACACTATGGCTACTCGTTACGTAAAAGTCTGGCCGCAAAAGGGCTGCAGGTCGAAGAAGGCACGCTCTATCCACTGATACGGCGTCTTGAAAAGCAGGGCTTGCTGGTCAGCGAATGGCGCGAAGAAGACAAGCGCCGCAAGCGCTTCTACACGCTGTCTGATATGGGCCGGCAGGTCTACCTGGGCCTTTACGAAGATTGGCGCGAGCTGGATGAGAGCATTCAGCAACTGATATAGCTTTTAAGAGGACAACATCATGCAACTGGTAGAAAGTTATTTATACGAAGTAGGGCGTTTCTTACCCAAGGAAGAGCGCGATGAACTCCTTGCTGATCTTCGTGACGACATTTTAGGGGAAATTGAGGGTGCCGCTGAAGCTGCAGGTCGTGCACCGCAAGTTGCTGACGAGCAGGAAGTCATTGCTCGGTTTGGCCACCCTTTGAAAGCGGCTGGCCGTTATCAGAAACCTCGCGCGCTCATTGGCACGGATCTCTATCCGGCGTTTATGCATACTTTGAAAGTAGTCTCCAGTGTCGCGGTGTTTGGGTTGTATCTGGTTTGGCTGATTGGCGGTGAGGCGGCAGATTGGCGTTTGGGTCCTTTTGCGCTGCTGGGTATGTTCATCGAGGTGTTGCTCTGGGTTTTTGCAAGTGTGGTGCTGGTGTTTGTCGCCATCGAATACTCGGGAGAGCGGCTGCGGTGGTATGAAAACTGGCGGCCCAGTGCGTTGAGTTCAACAAGCCTGGGTGTGATTAATCGTCAGGACGTGATCACCAACCTGATTTCGGAAGGCTTTTTTCTCCTCTGGTGGAACAATGTGGTTGTCCTGGTCGGGTTTTTGCCTGAAGGGGCTGCTGAACAGGTGATTGCTTTGTCACCCATCTGGGCTACTTTCTTCTGGCCACTCAACATCATCTTTGGCGTGCTGTTTCTGTTGCATTTCTATGTGCTGGTGCGTGGTATCTGGCAGCGGTATGTCCTGCTGGCTGAAGTAGTTGGCAATACTGCCTTATTGGCCATCGTGGGTGTCCTGTTGAGTAGTGGGGATCTGGTTCTGCTTAATGATCAGTTTCCAAATGGCTTTGCGTCCAATGCGCAGCTGGTGGTGAAAGTAGCGTTGTCAGTTGTGTGTGCTGCAATACTCTGGGATATCTGGCTTGCGTTTAAGGCATTTCGCGGGGCCGCTGCCAGACTGCGAGCGCGAATCTAGCCAGGCTCCCTGGTTCTCCGCAGGTGGGTCATCGTTATACAATGGGGATCCATGTCTTCTCTTTTGGATAATTGAATGGCTGATATTGTCAGTGCGGAGCTGAAAGATCCGCGTATCAGAACAGAATTTGTAGATGCCAACGGACTGCGCTTCGAAGTCGACAAATGTGGGAGTGGCGACAAGCTGGCGTTGTGTCTGCACGGCTTCCCGGAACACAGTTTCAGCTGGCGTTATCAGCTGCCGATGCTGGCAGATCTGGGCTATCAGGCCTGGGCGCCAAACCTGCGCGGATACGGTAACAGCAGTCGTCCGGAAGGCGTGGCAGCCTATGCTATTGAGTATCTGATGGAAGATGTTGCCCAGTTGATTGATGCCAGTGGCTGCAGCGAGGTCACGTTGCTGGCCCACGATTGGGGTGCGGTCATCGCATGGTATTTTGCGATGCGGAAAATCCGGCCGCTGAAGAATCTGATCATCTGTAATGTGCCTCACCCCCAGGGCATGTCAAACGACATGGGCTGGGCCCAGCTGAAGAAATCCTGGTATGTGTTTTTCTTTCAGGTGCCTGGGTTGCCGGAAAAACTTTTTTCTCGAGGTGATGGCAAAGGCATTGGTGATGTCATGCGTAATTCAGCGGTAGATAAGAGTCGCTTTCCGGACGAGGTGGGTGAGGTTTACAGGCGCAACGCCATGCAGCCTGGTGCTATGCAGGCCATGGTTAACTATTACCGCGCGCTGGTGCGCGGTGGTGGTGCTAAACGGCAGAAAGACCTGGGTTTTCCAGTCATCGACACCCCAACCCTGATGGTCTGGGGTGAAGACGATGTCGCGTTGACTAAAGAAACCACCTACGGCACCGAAGACTATGTGACCGATCTGACTATCCGCTATCTGCCGCGGGTGTCCCACTGGGTGCAGCAGGAGCAGCCCGAGGTGGTGAATGCCATGATCAAAGCGTTCCTGGTTGGGGAACCTGTACCTGAGCTGCGCTGGGAGGCTAAGCTCGAAAGCCCGTAAAAAAGCCCTTAGCCGTCTGCCATGACGGCAAGGTTTGGACCACGTCGCAGGTGATGCCCGCCATCAACGGGCAGCACTACGCCGGTAATCCAGGATGCTTCCGGTCCGCATAGAAAGCGTACCGCTTGACCGATGTCCTCTGCTTTACCGGTGCGCGCGATAGGCATACAGCTCAGATAGTCGTCACGCATGGCGGAATGTTCATGCAGCCCCTGGGACAGGTCGGTTTCCACCAGGCCCGGACCTACGCTGTTGACGCGAATATTCACAGCTCCGAGCTCGTCAGCGGTGTTTTTCACCAACATATCTACGGCCGCTTTGCTGACGCAGTAGGCGGTCATCATCTGGTGGGTCCTGGCTCCGGCGATCGATGAAATCGCACACATCGCCCCCCCACCATTGGCGGCCAGCGCTGCGCCGGCGTGTTTGAAGGTGTAAAAGGTGCCATTCAGGTTGGTGTCCAGAACCCGCTGCCATTCGCTGCTCTCGGTTGCCAGAAATGGACCCGCAGACCCTGTACCGGCATTGGCAATTGCGATGCTTAAAGGCATTTTTTCGTTTGCCTGCTGTACAGCCGCGGCGATGGCTTGCTCGTCTCCGATATCAGCAACAAGGTAATCGACGTTTGTTTTCAGCGTTGCTGCCGCGGCGCTAAGCTTTTCCCGGGTGCGCCCGACAATCGTGACGTGTGCGCCATCAGCGTGCAGTGCCGCCGCGCAGGCTAAACCGATACCGCTGCCACCGCCGGTGATAAATGCATGTTGACCTGTTAATGCTGCCATGTACGTGGTTCCTTCTGGTTTTTCTATTCAGTGCTGGTTGGAGATAGGCTGACATCAACATTGTAGCGGCAGGCCCGCAGGATGCGGACAAAAGTATGCATTGACGGTACTTTTCTGTTGGTTTCATAGGCATTCAAGGTCGCATGCGACGTGCCTGCAAGGCGCGCAACCTCGCGTAACCCCAGACCTGCCGCCAGCCTGGCTCGACGCATGCCGCCGCCAAGGTCGGCGGTCGGGTCAATCTGCATCAGGCGCTCTTGTATAGACACCGGTAAACCAATCGATCCAGCCTGCATTCTCCGGGTTGAACTGTTTCAGCTCCTGCAGCACTGAGCCGTCCGCTTGAGGTGTCCAGGTGCCTTTAAAAGGCGCCTGTAAACCATTTTCCTGATAGATAATATGTCCTTCCAGGTGCATTGCACCGCTGCTGGTTAGACCGCCGGAGTAATCGATGATGGCCCCGTCGCTGACCCAGAGTTGATACCATTTCATCGTTTTCGGGTTGTAGTAGTTGTAACTCTGTCCGGTGCCACCCTGGCGCCCCTGCCATTGTTCAACAATGAGACAGCCCTGCTCCTGAGCGGTAATCAGATTAGTACCTTGAAAATCCCCGCTCTTAGAATGGACGAGCCACTTGCCAAGTAAAAAGTCGAAAGCGCGATAGGCTTCGTCGGTGCAGTTTGTTGCGGCCGAAGCAGGCATCAGGGCAAACGGCATGACAAGCCAGCTTAAAATTAGTAACGATCTGGACATAAAGCTGCCTCGGTAAGTGTGCTGAGTGATTTATACTGGTTCGCTGATGACATTGCACTGACGACGTTCTGGTGCAGGCATAATAAAAACAAGGAGGGGTCTTGCGGACATTGGTCTGGTTTAAAAATGATTTGCGGGTCAGCGACCATCCGGCCTTAGCCGCGGCGCGAGATCATGGGCAGGTAATCGCCTGCTACTGCATGTCTGCAGCGCAGTGGCGTTCACACGATATGGGTGACTGGCGTTTGGCTTTTCAGCTCAGAACCCTTGATGCCCTGCAAGCTCAACTGCAGCGCCTGAATATTGAGCTGTTCATCGTTGATGCGCCTGAGTTTTCTGATGTACCGGGCGCGCTGACTGACTTATGTAAACGTTTGCGGGTCGATGCACTCGAAACAATTGATGAATATCCGCTCAATGAACGCCTTAGAGATAACGCCGTAGAACAGGCGCTGCTTGAGATAGGGGTGCAGGTCAACCGTCATGTAGCGGATGTTCTGGTTGAACCGGGTGTTCTGAAAACAGGTAGCGGTGGTCCGTATACGGTTTTCACGCCTTTCTATAAAAAATGGAGAGAGCGCGCCGAAAACGCGGCTAATCAGACGTGTGCTGTTCCTCAGCCACAAGCGCGTTTTGAGTTGCCCGTGGTTGAGCAGGAAAATCAGGTGCCTGTAGAGGTAGACGGGGTAGATCGTTCGCTTGGTGAATCATTGTGGCCCGCTGGGGAAGAGGTTGCACAACAGCTGTTGGACACCTTCATCACAACCCGTGCAGAGCGCTATCCTGACGATCGTGATCTGCCGAGTCTGGCAGGCACAAGTGGGCTGTCTGCACACCTGGCTGTTGGGTCAATATCAGCGCGGCAGTGTGTGTCTGCCGCGTTGCGGGCATCCATGCATGATACCCAGGCAGCAGACGGTTTGCAGAAGTGGGTGAGTGAGATTGCCTGGCGGGATTTCTATCGCCATATCGTGGCCCAGTTTGATCACGTTAATAAAGGCGCGGCGTTCCGCAGAGAGAAAGACCATCTGCCGTGGCGCCATGCCCCGGATGAATTGCAGGCCTGGCAGCAAGGGGTTACCGGTTATCCATTGGTGGACGCGGCGATGCGCCAGCTCAATGAAACCGGCTGGATGCACAATCGTTTGCGGATGATCGCAGCGATGTTTCTCACCAAGCACCTGCTGATTGACTGGCGCGCAGGTGAAAGGTATTTCATGCACAAACTGGTCGACGGGGACTTTGCTTCGAATAACGGCGGCTGGCAATGGAGTGCATCCACCGGTACAGATGCGGCACCCTATTTCCGTATCTTCAACCCGACCTCCCAGGGTACAAAATTTGATCGGGGGGGCGCGTTCACTACCCAATACGTACCAGAGCTGAGTGGATTGGATGCAAAATACATGTTCGAGCCACACAAAGCCGGTGTTACTTTTTATCCTGCGCCGATAGTGGATCACCAGTTTGCGCGGGAGCGTGCGTTAGCTTTTTTTAAGGCAAACCTGTAGCGTTCGGGAGAAATCGAGGGGGATTTAATATGTTGACCAAAGGGGATGATTTTCCCATTCATCAGACGCCGGAACCGATTGCGTATACCGGCGCTGCGCGTAATTTTTATGACCGTTATTTCTTTAACGGTTACCACTTACATGAAGATATCTTTTTCGCAGCTGCGCTTGGTGTTTATCCGTACGTTAACGTGATGGATGCCGCGTTCAGCTTAATCATTGATGGTGTTCAGCATAACCTGATTGCGTCACGGGTTCTTAATATGGAACGTATGGACACTCAGGTCGGACCCATTTCGGTGCAGGTTTTAGAGCCTCTGCAGAAATTGCGTTTGCAGATAGACGACACTGCCCGCGGGTTGCGCGCTGATCTGACCTTTACCGGCCGTATAGCCGCGCAGGAGGAACCGCGGTTTACGCGTCGTGTCGGTAGTGCGCTAACGATGGACTCTACCCGCTTGACCCAGAACGGCAGCTGGCAGGGTTGGATCGAACACAAAGGCCGGCGTACTGAGGTGACACCTGAACTATGGCTTGGTACGCGGGACAGGTCCTGGGGGGTGCGCAATATTGGCGCTGCGGATTCTCAGCCTAATCCTATGGCACCAGAGCACTTTCAGTTTTACTGGCTCTGGGCGCCCATTAACTGGGAGGATGGTGTCAGCCTCTATCACTTGAATGACGATGAGTTGGGTCGACCGTGGAATACCAACGGTGTGTTTGTGCCAACGGGTGAAGGGGCAGTGACGGAACAGATGGTTCAGGTCAGTTCGCTGATAGACTTCAAGCCCGGTACCCGTCATGCGCGCGCTGCAAAAATCAGGTTTACCCGCCATCAGGCAGGAGAAATTGAAATCAGCATGACACCCCGGTATCACTGGTACATGAAAGGCGTCGGTTATGGGCATCCAGAGTTTGGTCACGGGACTTACCATGGCGAGTTTGACAGCACCTATGAAGAATATGCGCTGTGTGACGTAGATGATGCCACTAATCTGCACATACAGGCGATCTGTGACGTACACATGACCGGTGATCTGGGTGAAAAGAAAGGTCGGGGTGTACTCGAGCAGCTGATCATAGGGCCACATGCACCTTCTGGATTTAAGGACCTCATGGATATGGCGCCGTGAGCGATAACAGTGGTCCGTTAGCCATTTATGCCGCTGACCTGTTTGCGGGTAAATGTGTGCTGGTCACCGGTGGCGGTCGCGGTATTGGTCGCGAAATTGCATTGGCATTTGCCCGGTTGGGTGCAGATTGTGTGATTGCCAGTCGGAACATGGAAAACCTGGCGCCGACTGCTGCCGAGATTGAAAAGCTGGGCAGGCGTTGCCTGGCTTTACCGGTAAACATCCGCGATCCACAAGCCGTCACCGAGATGGTTGATGAAGCGATCCAGACCATGGGTAAAATCGATTTCCTCATCAACAACGCAGGTGGACAATTTCCTGCCAATCCACTGGATATTTCCGATAACGGCTGGCGCGCGGTGGTGGACCTGAACCTCAACGGTACCTGGAATGTCACCAACCGGGTAGGCAAACATATGGTAGCCAACAATTTTGGCGCCATCGTTAACATCGTGCATATTTATTCGTACGGCCGCGGCGCTCCAGACTTTCCTCATTCAGGCGCCGCTCGTGCCGGGGTGGTCAATTTGGCGAAAAGCCTGGCGTTTCATTGGGCGCGGCACAATGTGACCATTAACAGTGTGGCGCCTGGCACCATCAACACAGCGGGGGTGCGGGAAGAAGAGTTTGCCGCTTCGGATAAAACGGATTACGAATCCCTGGCTACGGCGCAGATTCCGGCGAAGCGATTAGGCGAAGCTGACGAAACTGCAGCGTTGTGTGTGTTTCTGTGTTCACCTGCTGCAAGGTACATAAACGGTTCAGACCTGGTGGTAGATGGTGGTAATTACCTGGCAAGCTGGGTACCGATTATTGATCCCGAATAAGGAGAGCTGTGATGCGTTATGTCATTTGCCTGGCGCTGGGTTTGGTTGGGGGCTTTGTTGGCAGCTATTTGTTTGAGTTGCAAAGAACATCACCAGAGCTGACCATTCTGTCTACGCCGGAACAGGATGCATTGAATCTGCCTTTTGCTGAAGGCGTCCAGCTTGGCGATGTTATCTATCTCTCGGGACAGTTGGGTGTCAAACCCGGTACGCTGGACGTGGTGCCTGGTGGTATCGGCCCACAGACGCGGCAGACGTTGGAAAACATTAAAGCCTCCCTGCAACGTTATGGGTCCAGCATGGACCAGGTGCTTAAATGTACTGTGTTCATGGCGGACATGGCCGACTGGCCAGCCATGAATGTGGTTTATCAGGAGATGTTTGCCGGGCATCGTCCGGCCCGTAGTGCCTTGGGTGCTGGCGGTCTCGCTCTGGGTGCTGAGTTAGAAATCGAGTGTATTGCGCGCGTGAATCGTTAAAATGTCCATTCGCTATTTGTAACGTTAATAAGAAAGTAGAGGAAAGTATGGAAATCCAAGGCAGTAAAGGCATTTTTGTCGGTGGCGCATCTGGTATGTGTCGCGCAACAGCGGCCAAATTTGCAGAGAAAGGTGGCCAGGTTGCAATCTTGGACTTAGAAAAATCAGACGGTGCTGCAGTTGCTGCAGAACTGGGCGGTACGTTCATGCCTTGTAATGTCATGGACTATGACGGCATGGCCGATGTGATGGGTGAAGCGGTCAAGGCTCTGGGCGGTCTGCATTTCATGGTTAACACCGCAGGCGGCGCGGTGGCGCAACGCACCATCAAAAAAGACGGTTCACGACATTCCCTGGATGACTTCCGTCGCATAGTTGATCTGAACCTGATTGGCTCCTTCAATATCAATACCATCGCAGCGGAGCATATGGCTAAAAACGAGCCTAACGAAACCGGTGAGCGTGGCGTGATGTTGAACACCGCATCCATTGCTGCGTTTGAAGGGCAGATTGGTCAGGTAGCTTATACTGCCGCTAAAGCAGGTATTGCCGGGATGACCCTGACCATGGCCAGAGACCTGGGCATGTTAGGTATTCGTTGTATGACTATTGCGCCAAGCTTGTTTGATACCGGCCTGACTGCCGGCATTCCAGACGAAGGCGCGCTGCAGCTGACAAAAGATGCGGCTTTTCCAAAGCGAATGGGCCATCCTCACGAATATGCAACGATGGCTATTGCCATTTTTGAATGTGCCATGATGAACGGCTCAACCATTCGGGTTGACGCCGGACAGCGCTTCGCGCCTCGCTAGGTTTAGCAGGCTAGGCTTTGTTCAGACCAGGCCCTCGAGGAAAGATCGCATATAGCGGTTCACTTCTTCGGGGGCTTCCTGTTGGGTCCAGTGCCCAACGTCTGGAATCAGCTCATTGATGCGCAGATCGGTCACATAGCTGGGCATGTCCTGCAGCGCCTGGGCAGCCATCACAATGACCCCGTCTTTGTCGCCCGCAACAAACATTGCAGGCTGGTGGATTAGCGTGGGTGCACCTTCGGTCAATTGCCACGTTAAGTTGTGGTTTCGATAGTAGTTCAGCGGCCCGCGGAATGTGCTGCGGGTGAATTCCTCAACGTAAAAGTCCAGGTCGGCATCGCTGAGCCACGGTCCCATCTTTGCCGGGTCCGGCAGGTCGGACAACATATCCGCATCAGCGGGTTTAGGCTCCAGCAGCCCGATCTCCATCTGCGCGCTGGCCATGTGGTAAAACTTGCGCAGGGATGAACGCACGTTAGCTTCAAATTCCGCTTCGGCAACACCAGGTTCCTGAAAATAAAGCTGATAGAAAAACTGATCTTTGAAAAACGCTTTCATTGCATCAAGTGGCGGTACCGGCGAGCGAGGGCTGAAGGGCACTGACAGCACGCCGACAGCAGACACTTTGTCGGGGTGGTTCAACGCGCAACTCCATGCCGTTGGGCCGCCCCAGTCATGGCCAAAGACAATGGCGCTTTCGTAGCCCAGGGCGGGTATCAGCCCGATGATGTCGTTAACCACCTCAACCTGATTGTAGGCGCTGATGTCGGCTGGCTTGTCAGAGTCACCATAGCCGCGCATATCCGGTGCAACGGCATGGTAGCCGGCGTCCGCTAACATCTGGAACTGGTGACGCCATGAATACCAGGACTCCGGAAACCCGTGACACATCAGCACCAGTGGCCCGTCTCCCTGTTCCGCTATATTGAGCTTGATGCCGTTAGTGGCAATACGTCGATTGGTGATGTTCGGAAAGTTGTTGGATATGGTCATGTCTGCTCCCTCAAGGTGGGTCTATGAAAGCATAGCCGGTGGATCTTCAGCAAATTCTGCTCGTGATTTCTCTTATCTCGCCAGGGATTGAAAAGACTGCACTATGCGTAGTCGATGAGCTGTTCAAACAGGTCATAATTTTGTTTTAATCAAAGGCTGTTTGAAGGGGATATCATGAATTTCGATTTTTCAGATGATCAGAAAATGCTTGCCGATCAGGTGCAACGTTATCTGCAGGAACGCTGTCCAGTCAGTCGTGTACGACAGGTACTTGAGCAGCCACCAAGATTTGCCGAAGAAGTCTGGCAGGGGCTCGCTGAGCTGGGTTTGCTGGGCACCGCTGTGCCCGAGAGCTATGGTGGTACCGGTGCCGGTTATGCGGAGCTGTGCCTCGTTGCTCAGCAGATCGGTCGCCACATCGCACCAGTGCCATTCGGTTCTACAGTCTATCTGCTGACAGAAGCGCTGTTGCAATTCGGTTCGGAAGCGCAGAAGCAGCAATGGTTACCAAAAATCTGTAGCGGTGAAGTCAAAGGTGCGCTGGCGACGACCGAGGCGCTTGAGCAACTGGCACAGGCGCAGGTGCATGCCAGTGTGGAAGCCGGTCGTCTCAGCGGCGAGAAGCTCATGGTGGCTGATGGCAGCATTGCAGATGTCTACCTGGTGCTGGCAAAACAGAATGATCAACTGGGTTTGTACCTGGTGCCCGCGGACGCTTCGATTCAGACCTCTACGGTTGATTCGGTAGACCTCAGTCGTGATGTTGCCCATGTCACTTTTGACAATACCCCTGCAGAGCTTCTGCACGAACAAGGCTGGTCCGGTTTACAAGCACTTTACCAGCGTGCAGCGGTCCTGTTTGCTTTTGAACAGCTGGGTGGTGCTCAGAGAGCGCTTGAAATGGCGGTAGATTACGCCAAGGAACGTTTTGCATTCGGGCGTGCCATTGGGTCATTCCAGGCGATCAAACATATGCTGGCAGACATGTTTGTTGCCATGAAACTGGCGGAATCAAACTGTTACTACGCGGCATGGGCATTGGACAACAATGCACCTGAATTACCCCTGGCTGCGGCAACGGCCCGGGTAGGTGCCACTGAAGCCTTTCAGTTATGTGCCCGCGACAACATTCAGGTGCATGGCGGTATGGGGTTTACCTGGGAGTTTGATTGTCACCTTTATTATCGACGCTCTAATTTTCTGGCGCTCGAGATTGGCGGTTTAAGTGAATGGGAAGACCGGCTTGCCCAGGCGCTCCCACTACAGAACATTGCATAGAGGAAAGATCAATGGATTTCAGTGATTCCCCCGCACAGGCCGAGTTTCGTAACGAGGTTAAAGCGTTCATTAAAGCCAGTGCGCCACACTACCTGGCAGAAAATCTGCAGAAGAGTGGTTTTGGCAACACTAATACGGGTGAGTATGACACCCTCGAAGAAGCCAAGAAGTGGCAACGTACCAAGGCTGAAGCCGGCTGGGCGTGTCTGTCATGGCCGTCAGAATATGGTGGCCGCGACGCCAGCCCAATTGAAAATGTCATCTGGGCTCAGGAAGAAGGTGTGTATGGACGGTTGTCAGGCACGTTTATTATCGGTCAGGGCATGTGTGCGCCTACCTTGATGGCGTATGCCAGTGATACACACAAACAGCGCTACCTGCCTAAACTGGCCAGTGGTGAAGAAGTCTGGTGTCAGTTATTTTCCGAACCCCATGGCGGCTCGGATCTGGCTGGGCTTCGTACCCGGGCGGAAAAAGACGGCGATGAATGGGTGATTAACGGGCAGAAGATCTGGACGTCCGGGGCGCAGCATTCGGACTACGGTATTTTGATCACCCGTACCGACGCCACCGTGGCCAAACACAAAGGTCTGACCATGTTTTTCCTCGACATGAAGTCACCCGGCGTCAAAATTGTGCCGATCAAACAAGCCAACGGAAACAGCGAGTTCAACGAAGTCTATTTTGATAACGTGCGTATTCCTGATCACCAGCGTCTTGGTGAAGTGGGTGAGGGCTGGCGGGTTTCCATTACCACGCTGATGAACGAGCGCCTGGCAATCGGCGGTAGCATCGCCACGGGTTTCCCTGAAATTTATGATCTGGTCTCGAACCTGTCACTGCAGGGGCAGCCGGCTATAGACAACGCTGCGGTGCGTTCGAAGCTCGCGCAATGGTATGTGAAAGCCTCGGGCCTGAAGAACAGCAGTTCACGCATGTTAACGGCTTTAGCAAAAGGTGATAATCCTGGTCCGGAAGCCTCCATGGGAAAACTGGTGGCGGGCAATATGATGCAGGATATCGCTAAATTTGCCATCGACCTGCAGGGGCAGGCTGGCCTGTTAGTAGACCCGGAAATCGCAGAAGGTGCTGCGCGATTCCAGGCCATGCTGCTGCGTTCGCCAGCCGTGCGCATCGAAGGCGGCACAGACCAGATTCTGCGCAACATTATTGGTGAACGGGTGCTTGGACTGCCTGAAGATCTGCGCGCGGACAAAGGCATGCCGTTTAACGAAATCCCTACAGGGCTGGGTTAACGGTGCTCTAAACATCGACAACCAATTTGTCAGGAGCCAGGAACGGGATCAGCCGATCCGGCTCTCTACCAAACTGTACCAGGGTCTGGGGATTATCCCGGTCTCTTTAAAAGAGCTGGCGTTCAATACCTTCCTGCTCTTGTACTACAACCAGGTATTGGGTCTCTCGGCCAGTTACGCATCCTTTGCTTTGTTGATCGCGCTGGTTGTGGATGCGGTAAGCGATCCCATTGTCGGCTCCTTTTCCGATAACTTCCGCCATCGCCTGGGCCGGCGTCATTCGCTGATGTACGCCGCGTCTGTGCCGTTTGCCCTGTGTATCTATTTACTGTTCTCGCCGCTGCCAGCCGTTGCAGACTATCTGCATGTCTGGCTGTTGGTATTCGCCCTTGGTACCCGTCTGAGCTTTACCTTTTTTGCGGTTCCCTGGAATGCGATGTTTGCGGAACTGTCTGATGACTATAAAGAACGCAGCGAGCTCATCTCTTATCGCTTTGCGGTGGGCTGGATAGTCGGCATTGTGTTTGTTTTTTCGATCTACTCCTTCATATTTGTCGCCAGTGACGCCTACCCTCAAGGCCAACTTAACCCTGCGCATTACCAGACGTTTGCACTGGTGCTGTCGCTTACGGTGTTTGCTGGTGCGTTTTTGACGACCCACCTCACTCGGGATCAGATTCCATATCTGCGTCAGCCACCAGCGTCATTACGCCGTTTCAGTTTGCCTGTGCTGTGGGAGGAATTAGGTCTGGCGGTAAAAAACCGCAATTTCCGGGTGCTGATATTTGCGGTACTCGCCAGCGCTGTGGTGGGCGGTACCAACCAGGCCCTGCAGATTTACATGAATACCTACTTCTGGGATTTCAGTGGGGAGCAATTACGCTGGACGGCCGTAGCAGTGCTGGGTGGCCTGCTGGCTTTTTTTACCGTGCTGCCGTTACAGAATCTGCTGGACAAAAAATACCTGCTGGTGGCCTGTGCAGTTTCAATCATGGTGGTCACTATGGTGCCCGTCACCTTGCGACTGCTTGAACTTGCGCCTGCCAACGGTACGCCGGGGCTGGTGGTGATGATTGTTATCGCGGCGACCATTTCTGCCTATTTCGGCACCATCGCGTTGATTATGTTCACCTCCATGGTGGCAGATACCCTGGATGTACAGGAGTATGAAACAGGGCTGCGCCAGGAGGGGTTGTTTAATTCCGTGATGACGTTTTCCAGTAAAGCGACCACCGGCGCAGGTATTCTGATTGCGGGCCTGATTATCGATCATGTGATTGGCTTGCCCCAGGGCGCGCAGCGCGCGCAGATCACCCCGGAGATGATCTTCAGAATAGGCATTGTTGATGCTTACGTGGTGCCGCTTTTCAACGTGGTGTGGTTAAGCCTGGTGTTGAAGTACAGTATTACTCGGGACGAACATACACAGATCCAGCAGGTGCTGGCGCGCAGGCGTATGCCGGATTCGTTGGAGAGTTAACTTAGAAAATTTCTTACTTACTAAGGGGAATAAAAACAATGAGTTACGAAACTATTGTTACTGAGAATATTGATTCGGTATTGCTTATTACACTCAATAGACCAGAACGCCTGAATGCCTGGACCTATCAGATGGGTGCGGAATTGCGCCGTGCCATCGAAGCGGCCAACGGGGATGAAGAGGTCTCGGCCATTGTGCTCACGGGTGCTGGACGTGGGTTCTGCGCAGGCGCGGATATTGAAGCAGTCTTCAAAGCGCAAAGTGACGGGGCCGACGTTGCAAAAGAAGGTACCGGCGACTGGGTGACTCTGGTGCGCGAATCCAAACCTATGGTGGCGGCCATCAATGGTGCAGCGGTTGGCGTTGGTCTGACTCAGGTGCTGCCAATGGATTATCTGGTGGCTGCGCAAGGCGCCAAGTTATCAGTGCGTTTCGTGAAGATGGGTCTTGTGCCAGAGCTTGCCAGTTCACGTTTTCTCTTTGCACGCTGCGGTTGGGGGCAGGCAAGTGAATTGATGTTATCGGGTAAAACCATCGAGGCACAGGCTGCGCTTGAGATGGGTCTGGTCGACAAAGTGGTTGCACCGGATGATCTGGTGTCTACCGCCTGTGAAATTGCAGCGGGTATGGGAGAAAACCCCCAGAGTTCACTGCGCGCCATCAAAGCATTAATCAGTGCCAATGCCGGTTGTAACGATTACGCGGAAGTGCAGAGGCGCGAGATGTCCGCGCTGCATCAGGCTTACACTACAAGCGAGCATAAAGAAGCCATTGCAGCGTTCATGGAAAAACGCGCTCCGGACTTCAAGCGTGCGCGCTCGGAGGGCTGATCGTCATGGCGTATGAAATCAAAAAATTCTCTCACCCGGGTACCATAGATGCGGACGGTCATGTGCTGGAGCCGCCGGATCTGTGGGAAAACTACCTGGAACAGAAGTATCAGCATCGTGCGCTGCGCATTGGTGTTGATGATTCGGGGTATGAATATCTTGAAATTGATCAGGTGCCATCCAAACGCTCCCGTAAAGGATCACTAGGCCTGCTGGGCGCCATGGGTGAAGAAGATATGCGGCCGAGCCCTGAGCGCCGCTACATTGACAACATTCCTTTTGGGGCCAGTGATCCACTAGAGCGTCTGCAGCTGATGAGCCAGGAAAATCTGGAATGTACTTTGCTGTACCCAACCCTGGGGTTGCTCTGGGAAGTTGAGCTGGCAGATCCGGAGCTTAGTCTGGCTTACTGCCGTGCCTACAATCGCTGGATCGCTGATTTCTGTCGCGAATCTTCCGGCAAGCTGGTGCCCATTGCGCATTTAACCCTGTTGGATGTGGAGGGCTCGGTGGCTGAGCTCGAGCGCGCTGTAAAAGACGGGTGTAAAGGTGCATGGGTTAATCCTTTTAATCACAACAAGATCATTCACGGCGATGCCCGGCACGATCTGCTGTACCAGAAATGTATGGAGCTGGATGTACCGTTTGCTTTGCATCCGACATTTACACCGCACGGGGCGGCAGAAGGTATTTTTGACTGGCCGCGCGAAGGTCGAGCCTGGGCTGAAGCCATCTGGCTGCGTTCTATTGTGCAGCAGGCGCTCATTTCCTATTTTTCGCTGGGCACCCTGGAGCGCTTCCCGCAGCTTAAGCTTGGCGTGCTTGAAGCCGGGTCCGGCTGGATCGGCGCGATGTTGGACCGACTGGATGCGTACACGGCATCACTCAATATCAATCGACCCAGTGCAACAGAAACCTTTCGCAAGCAGTGCTTTATCTCCGGGGACCCGGACGAAACCGCCGCGCCACACATTATTGATCACGTAGGTGCGGATTGTTTCATGTGGGCTACGGATTATCCGCACCCGGACCATCCGCACACCTGGGTGGATGACCTGGAAAAATATGCCGCGCGCCTGTCACCACAAACCCGACAGAAAGTATTGGGCGGCAACGTTAAGCGTATTTATAAACTGGACTATTAAGACGAACAGAAGCGGGGAGGCTTTTATGGCTTATATCGACAATCAGACCATCCATGATGCAGATTCGCATGTCATGGAGTTGCCCGAGAAGATCCTCGAGTATCTTGAAAGTGATTATCAGGCAGAGTTTTCTGAGTTTGCTGCGGCAAAACTGCGCATGCCGGAAGATATTAGCAGGGCGGTAAAGCAGCAGGACAATGCTGTTTTCCGCGCGGATGAAGCGCAGGAGCTGATGCTGCGGAAAAATCACCTGGCCTTGGGCGCCTACCGCAATAGCGACCGTCCGAAGTGTCTCGACCTGCTGGGTTTTTCGAGTCAGCTGGTGTTCACCACAGCGGCGCTGGGTAATTATGGTTTGGAAGAGGCGGGCAAACCTGAGTTAGCTCTTGCAGCGGCACGCGCGCACAATCGCATGAACGCAGATTTCTGTTCAGTAGATAAAAGGCTGCTGGCAACTGGCTATGTGCCGCTGCTGGATATCGAAGCAGCACCTAAAATTGCAGAAGAAGCGCTGCAGTTAGGCTGTAAAGCCCTCATGATCCCTTCGAAATGTCCGGCAGGTCACAGTCCCAGTCACATTGGCTTTGAGCCACTGTGGTCGTTGGCAGAAGAGGCGGGTATCCCCATTGTGTTTCATGTGGGTGGTGAGGAAAAAATGGCGGACAGCTACTTTGAAAATGGTTTGCCGCGGGTGAAAGATTTCCATGGCGGTGAAGAAAACTTCACCGGTTTGAGTTTCATGTCTATTCCCATCGCCATCTGGCAGAGCATGGCAGCCATTATTTTTGATGGCGTGCTTGATCGTCACCCCAATCTCAAGTTTGGTGCTATCGAACTTGGCGCCGCATGGTTGCCAAGTTGGCTGCAGTTCATGGATTCAGCCTGGGGTGCCTTTCGTAAAGGTGAAGCGCGTCTGCAGAATTTGTCGGATCGCCCCAGCGAAATTGCCAGGCGACAGTTTCGGGTTACCCCCTACGCGCATGAGCCAACTGGTTGGATCATGGATAATTCGAGTGAAGATATGCTGTTGTTCTCTTCAGATTTTCCCCATGTGGAAGGCGGTCGAAACCCGATCAAACGCTTCTCAGACAACATGCCTGAGGTGAGCGAGGTAGCACGACAGAAATTCTATCGGGATAATTTCATCGATCTGATGGGCGCGGGTCTGGATATCAGTCTGCACGATCATCCGTCTGTGGCAGCTTCACTTGGCCCTACGTGAACCTTCGGAAGATGTCGTCCAGGTGCTGGCCAGCTATCCGCCCAAGGTGTCGAAGCGCCTGCAGCAGGTGCGCAAGATCGTGCTGACAACAGCAAATCAGCTGGGTGTTGGTGAAGTGATCGAAACCCTGAAGTGGAATGAGGTTGCTTATCTGCCGGCAAACGCGGGAATAGGGTCGACGCTGCGGATCGGTTACAGCGATAAAATGCCCCAGCACTATCAGCTGTATGTGCACTGCGGCACGAACCTTATCGACATGAGTAAAACTCTGTTCCCGGAACTGTCTTATCAGGGTAACAGGGGTATTGCGTTTAAACTGGACGAGCCGTTACCTCGGGATATATTGATCATGTTGACCGAAATGACCCTCACATATCATCGCACCAAACGCAAACACGTTGCCGCCCGTTAAACACATCTTCTTTGATCTGGATGGTACGCTGACCGATCCGAAACTCGGCATAACCCGCTGTCTGCAGTTTGCTCTGGCTGAGATGGGTGAACCTGTGCCGGATACCCAGGCGTTAACCTGGTGTATCGGTCCGCCACTACTAGACAGTTTTGCTCAGCTGGTTGGTGCAGAGCGCGCTCAGCAGGGGGTTGATCTTTACCGCCAGCGCTTTGCTGATGTGGGTCTGTTCGAAAACAGCCCCTATCCGAAGATTCACGATACGCTGGAATCCATCATCCAGCGCGGTCACGTTTTATTTGTGGCTTCGAGCAAGCCGAAAGTGTTTGTTGACCGGATTCTGGCGAAATTCGAATTGATCGAATTCTTCAGCCAGACTTATGGCTCACATCTGGATGGTAGTCTGACGGACAAAAGTGAGCTGTTGTCTCATGCCTTGCAGCACAGTGCCGTATCCCCCGGGACATCTCTGATGATAGGCGATCGTAAACACGATGCTATTGGCGCTCAAAGCAACCAGATGAACTTTGTTGGGGTGTTATACGGTTATGGTGATCAGGCCGAATTTGACGCGGTGGGCGTGGCCGATCTTGTGCATGACCACGCCGATCTGTTGACCCTGTTGAGCTAGCGCCCCAGGAATGCGGAAATGCGCTCTCGGAGATTAGTGCGCATATTCATATGGAACAGACTGTAGTCGTAAACGTGCATGCTGTTGCCTAACATTCTCGAGGGAAAAGCATCACTTTTGAGGTTGTGTACTGCCAGCTGTCCACCCTCACACTGTGCATCTGCAACGCCGACCTCCACGTTCATTGCAGTAACGTCTTCGTCCGGTTTACCTCGTCCGTAGGTGGGGTAGCCGATAGCGCCCGTATTCAAGCTGTTGTCTGCGTACTCCTCATCAACCCGCCAGGTCAGGGGGTTTGTGCATAACAGGTTGTCTGTATCGCCAAAAGCGCCGCTGCCTGAACCCTCCATAGCATTCCAGCCAATGGCGCAGTGTACATCTGTGGGCGTATCGCATGCGGGTACGTCTCCCAGTTGCTCGTGGGATACTGAAAAGCCAATCAGATATGCGGCGACCATGCGGTCGAGGAGAGGAGTATCGGCTATCCGCGCATCCAACAGTTGTGTTGCGTGACGCGTACCCTGGGAATGGCCTGCAATGATAAAAGGCGTAGATGGCCCGATGCGTGTGAGAAACTCAGAAAACGCTTCATCGACATCGTCATAAGCAAGCTTTAAGGCCTGCTGGCTGCTGCTGCTGTTGTCCAGGAAGGCGAAAAAGGTGGCCTGTCGGTAGCGTGGTGCGTACACATCACAACAGCCGTTAAAAACGGAGGCTTGATGTCTGAGTATTCTCTGATCAACAACCCAGTTGGCGTCTTCGTCAGACAGGGGCTGGTTCCAGCCTTTTTTACTGATAAATGAGGTGGGGTGGACAAAGAACACCGCAACATCAGTGGGCATTACACTTACCCCCTCGGGTAAGTCGTCAGCTGGGTCTGTCAGGGTGGGTAGCGATGCCCAGCTCTGGTCGGCGCTGTAATCTGGCGCCGCTGGTACGCTGTCCGGGCTGAAAACCTGTTCCGGCTTAATTTGTGAACCGACCAGGGCCATCATCAAAGGCTGTCTGAATATGTACGCGGCAATCATGGTGACCACGATGATGACGGCCGCTGAGAGCAGAAACTTTTTCAAGGCACTTATCCTGGTCGGTTTGTTCTATCGGTAAACAGGTGGTTAGGTCGAATCTTCTTGTATTCAGCCAGCACAGGTGCAAATTCCTCTGGGGTGCTGGCGTGGATAATGATGCCGTCAGCACCGGCGGTGAATTGATCTACCCAGCGTTGGGCGCAGGTTTTTGCATCCCCGACGGCAGCTGGGCGCCAGTGTTCCGGAATCAGCTTGGCAACTTCTGCAATCTGCTGGGTGCTGGCAACACTGTCAATTGCCCCACCGACAGAGGTGACGGCTTTGTGTGTGCGGAAAGTCTGAAGAATCTCAGGGTCCCAGTTGTTGACCGCGACCAGCATGTCGCCATAGCCCGGAATCTGCAGGTAGGTTGCCAGGCGCGCGATGATAAATTTGAGGTACTTTTCCTCTGGCACGTCACACGCGGTTGCGAGCACTGACCACAGCTTACCTTTGCCGACGGTCTTGCCGGCCTCGGCTTCGCCTTCCCGGAACTGTTGCACGGCATTGCTCAGTGCCTGGTCGCTCATGAACGTGTGCAGATGGGCGCCGTCATAAACGGAGCCTGCGTGCCGCAAACTTCTGGGACCAAAGCCAACGTATAAGATCGGTATATCTTCCGAAACGTACGGGGCGAGACTCAGAGCGCCAAATTTACCCAGTGCGCCGTCATGTCCAACAACGGTTTCACCCCGCCACAACCTACGCATCAAGTCGATGAATTCTGCCTCGCGTGCAAAGGTAGGCGTCTTCAGACCCCAGGCTTTCCAGCGCAGGTTTACTCCTTTCGCAAGTCCCAGCGCAAAACGACCTTCTGACAAGCTGTTTAAAGTGGAACCCATGGAGGCGGTAACCACAGGGTGGCGGGTATTGAGGTTGGTGCCTGACGTGCCGATATAGATGTTATCCGTTACCGCTGCACAGGCCCCACATATGGCTGCTATTTCCTTGTAATCAGAGCGTTCGGATAACATCACGTTGCCAATGCCCAGAGCTTCTGCATCTCGTACCTGCTGCAGCACATCGGCTGGTGTGCGTGTATGACCAGGTAAGCCATAAAAGCCGAGTTCAGGAAATTCAGAAGTGTAAGTAGGGTGTGTCATAAGATTTACGGCTGTAGCGATTTAAGATAAGAATTAAGAAAAGTGCCTTTTGCGTCAACGCTGTTTCTGACCCGCCACCAGTCGCTCCAGCGACTGTGCTGACCGGCAAGCTGTTCGCGATTCAGGTAGTTGACCTTGCCCCAATGCGGGCGGCCTTGGTAGTGCAGAAAAATTTCTTCACAGGCGCGAAAATAGTTTTCATCATCCTGGCTGATGTCCTCATGTACCGAGATGGTAACGCTCGGTCGCTCATAGGCCGTCGATAACCAGACGTCGTCAGCGGCGAGGGTTCGATATTCAACAGGCCAGCGCACATCTGGAAAGTCTGTTTGCAGCAGCTGCTGGATGTCATGCATACACGAAGGGCCGTTCTCAAACGGCACGCTGTACTCCATTTCAGTATGTTTGTGTGGTCGATGATTCGGCAGCACTTCGTAGCTCCATGCGCAGCGCTCACCTTCATCGCCTAAAGGATATTGAGCGGGCTCTTCGGTCCGATCGATGGATTTACCACGGGCTTCATCTGTGTGGGGATACCAGAAGAATTCGTGATGGCGGTGAGTCGCGGCATCTTCTGCAAAGTGCGCAAGGGTATCGGCTAGGTTTGCAGTCCAGCTGTGTTCCTTTAACCGGTAGGCCTCTTCGAGCTGTATGTGTAGCCGGGTGATGATGCCAAATGCACCCAGGTGCAGTCGACTGGCCTGCCAGAGTTCTGCATTGTGCGCTGGTCCGCACTCAATCAGCTCGCCGCTGGCGAGCGCAATGCGTGCGCCAATCACAGTTGATGACAGATTTTTTAAGCGGGTGCCGGTGCCGTGGGTGCCGGTGGCGGTTGCACCACAAATAGCCTGCTGGTCAATGTCACCCTGATTGGTGAGAGCCAGGCCTGCGGCGTGCAGGGGTTGTCCCAGGGCGTAGATGCGCGTGCCTGCACCTACCCATGCGGTTTTAGCGGTTTGATCGATATCAAAAATGCCCGTGAGTCCTTGAGGGTCTGCCACGATGTCATCGCTGACAACCAGTGGTGAGTGGCTGTGGGTGGCTCCGGCGACGCGGATCTGATGACCGTTGGCATCGGCTTGTTTAGCCAGGGCAGCAGCGTCTGCTTCGCTGCGCAGAAAAGCGATGCGGTTCGGTTTGGCTCTGAGTTTTCCCGACCAGTTCTGCCAGTTCATAGTCAGCCTTTGACGTGCAAGCCATCAGTTTTAAGAAGGACTCACTATAGAGTGATCTACGGGAAATGTGGATACTGAGGCTTCATTGAAGGAGATTGAACATGCCCAGACTGAAACAAGTACCTCGCGCAGAAGCCGATGCCAGTGTCATTCCCTATTACGACGCGTTGTTTGGACCCGACCGGGACCCGGTGGCGGAGCCTGGTACGGCAACGGGAACGCCGGGCGACTGGTGGACTGTATTTGCGCAGGTGCCAGATTGTCTGCACCACATGGTCCTGGGTTTTCAGTTTTATCGTGGTGAGAACCGCCAGTTATCCGGCCGGTTGCGCGAGCTGGGCCAGGCGCGTGCCGGTTTTGCACGGGGCAGTCAGTTCGTTTTTTCACAGCACTGTAAAGCGTTGCGGGCGGCGGGGTTTTCAGAAGAACAGATCAGCGCGATACCGCACTGGTCGGCTACTGACCTGTTTTCAGATGTAGAGCGCGCGGTGCTGGCGTATACCGACGACCTGGTTTTGCAGGGTGGTCGTGTCGCAGACGGCACTTTTGAGCTTCTCAGATCCCATCTGAACGATGTAGAGATCATTGAACTGACGTATATCACCTGTACCTATGAGTTGCACGCCACCATGACGCGCGCCCTGCGGCTTGAGTTTGATGACGTGGATGAACGCATTGTGGAAGTGGCCGTACCTGAAGGTGAAAAGCGCGATATGGATTTCTTCCAGAATCTGGATGAGTAGTCTAAATATCGCCGCTGTTGCGCAGTGCCGCCAGGTCCTCTTCGCTGTAACCCACGGAGAGCAGCATCTCGGTGGTGTAGGTGCCTACTTCACCACCAGGCCAGTCTGTTGCGCCTGGGCTGGCACTGAGTTTCGGCAGGATGGCCGGGATGGTGAGCTCCCCTTGCGGTGTTTCGACGCGCTCGAATAAACCTCTGGCCTGGTAATGTGGGTCTTCCATCATATCCGCAACGCTATAGATCGGCCCCACTGGAACATCTGCAGCTTCCAGAATTTGAATCACTTCAGCCGCACTGTGCGCACGTGTCCAGACAGCAATCAAGCCGTCTATGAATTCCTGGTGGGTCACACGTCCAGCGTTGTCCGCGTAGCGCAGATCCTCGGCAACATCATTGCGTTGCATGGCCTGCATCAGTCGGACAAATATTGAGTCGCCGTTAGCACCAATCACAACGTGTTTATCATCAGCGCACAAATAGGTATTGGTGGGCACAATCCCGGTGATGGTTGACCCAGAAGGTTCACGAATGGCGCCGCCACCTGAATATTCAGGCACTACCCCTTCCATCAGATTGAACATGGCCTCATAAAGGGCAACGTCAACAACCTGTCCGCCGGTACCGCGATCCTGTTTGCGTTCCAGTAATGCCAACAAGACGCCCAACACGGCGTGAATACCGGCTATGGTATCGCCGATACTTAGGTTGGGCCGAACCGGTGGCTCGCCGGGAAAACCGTTTACGTAGCGAAAACCGCTATACGCTTCAGTCACTGACGCATAACCGGGTTTGGTGCTGTTGGGGCCGGTCTGGCCATATCCGGAAATACGCGCGAAGATCAGATCCGGGTTTAATGTTTCAAAATCCTGCGGTCCTAATCCCCATTTTTCCATAGTCCCGGGTTTAAAGTTTTCGATGACCACATCAGCGGTGGTCATCAGTTTTTTCACCACCTCCCGGCCGGCTTCGGTGCGCAGGTTTGCAGTAACGGATTTCTTGTTGCGACCCAGAGAGCGCCACCAGAACGCTGTGCCGGAGTCGTCGAGCAGGCGCCAGCCACGGATGGGATCGCCGGCGCCGGGCGGTTCTACTTTGATGACCTCTGCGCCGAAGTAAGCCAGTGTTGTGCCGGCAAAAGGCCCTGCCAGGAGCTGTCCAACTTCAATCACGCGGATACCATCCAGAGGGCGTGGGGCCATTACAGTGCTCCCCACTTGCTGGATACAGAGTTGCGAGGCACATCTTTGAAAGGACCGGTATCGAATCGCGGTTCTTTTGGCATGCCCATGACGCGTTCGGAAATGATGTTTTTCTGAATCTCATCAGTGCCGCCAGCGATGGATACCGCAGGGACCGACACGAGAATTTCCGCAATAATGCCATCGTGAGGGCTCGCTTGCCCGCTGAGCAGTGCATCTGCGCCGCTGATATGCGTATGCACCCGCGCGGCCAGGCGCGCGATGTTACTTGCCGCCAGTTTGCCCAGAGAGCCTTCAGGGCCCTGCGGTTTGCCAGCCTGTTGGGCAGCACGGGCTCGTGCCGCGGTCCATTGTGCGCTGCGTGACATGATCAGGAGTTTTGCAATTTCCTGACGGGTGACCGGGTCGTTGATGGCGCCGGTTTCCTGGGCGCGCTGCAGGATCAGATCGACGCGGCCGGCGCGTTGCGGATACCACTTATAAGGTTCGTTATCGATTTCGAGCTCTTCGCGGTATTCATCATAAATTCGGCCTTTCTGTTCGGCAAACGAGCCACCCCCGCGGATGCGGTCAAACGAGCGACGCTCATGGGCAAGGGTGGTGACGGCTACCTGCCAGCCATTGCCTATATCACTGAGCAGGTTATCTCGGGATACAACAGCGTCGGTCATGAACACTTCGTTAAAGCTGGCGTGTCCGTTCATCTGTTTAAGCTGGCGGACCTCAACACCCGGTTGATGCATATCAATGATGAAGTAGCTGAGCCCCTGGTGCTTGGGTACATCCCAGTCTGTGCGGGCCAGCAACAGACCATAGTCGGCATGATGGGCACTGGTATTCCATACTTTCTGGCCATTGACGATCCATTCGTCGCCTACCAGGTCTGCCCGGGTTGTCGACCCGGCCAGGTCTGAGCCGCTGCCGGGTTCGCTGAACAGCTGACACCAGCTGTCCTCACCGGTGATGATGCGTTTCAGATATTTCCGCTTCTGCGCGTCGTTGCCGTGGGCAAGCAGGGTGGCTGCGGCCAGCATGCGCACGCCGGATTGGGCAGCCCCAACGATGCCCATATCCTGGAACACAGCGGCTATATCCGCAGCTTCTTCTGCGCTGGTGCCTTTGCCGTAGTACTCCTCCGGCCAATCCGCTGTGGCCCAACCTGTGTCGGCAAGTTTGGTACGCCATTCCACCAGAGACAGCTCCGGATTCCAGTTATCGTTCAGCCACTGGCGTACTTCAGTTGTCAGATTTTCCATTGCTAAACTCCCATTGCCTGTAACATTCGCTCCCGGTGGAAAGCAGGTGTGCCCATGAAAACCTCCGAGCTCTTGGCGCGTTTGAACCACAGATGTGTGTCGTTTTCCCAGGTGAAACCAATGCCGCCATGCAGTTGAATGCAATCGATGCCGGCCTGTAGATACGCTTCGCTGGCGGCGGCTTTCGCCAGACTGGCAAGTTCGGTGACGTTGTCGTTGTTGTCTAACGCAACAGCAGCCTGGTAGGCGGCAGATTTTGCGCTCTCCACCACAAGTAACAGATCGGCCAGCCGATGTTTGATGGCCTGAAAAGAGCCAATGGTACGGCCGAATTGCACCCTCAGTTTGGTGTATTCAACGGCTGCGTCGAGCAGGGCCTGGGCCCCGCCCACCATTTCGTTGGCGAGCGCAACGAGGGTTAAGTTCTGCAGGGCGTCCAAATCAACAGGAACATCCTGGCCAAGCAGTTCTGCGTCGGCATTTTTGAACGTCAGGTCGGCCATTTTGCGGGTCGCATCCATGGTTTCAACCTGTTCTGCGGTGACGCCAGCGGTGCTCGCTTCTGTGACGAATAAGCGTGGTCCGTTATCTGTCGCTGCTGCGATGATCAAGGTGTCGGCCTGTTTGCCGTTCAGAACAAAACGCTTAGCGCCGCTGATCTGCCAACCCTCTGAGGAGATTCGTGCGGTGCAATGCAGGTGTGTCGTGTAGAACTCGCCGCTGTCTTCACAAATGGCCAGCGCACCAATTTTTTCGCCGCTGAGCAGCGGTGCGAGCCATCGCTGTTGCTGACTCAGCGTGGCGCATGCAGCCAATGCAGTGGCAGCCATAACAATGCTGCCCATGTACGGGGCGCAGATCATGGAGCGGCCAAACTCCTCCATGATGATCCCCAGTTCAACTGCACCAAAGCCTGAACCACCAGCTTGCTCAGGCAGATGTATCCCTGCCAGCCCGAGTTCTCCACAGATTAACTGCCAGACCTCCGGGTCGTAGCCCGTTTCGGTATCCATGAGTTTTCGGGTTGCGGTGGTTGGCGCTTTTTCTATGCAGAAGCGCCGGACGACATCACGAAAATTGTCCTGATCCTGAGTAAAGGCAAACGCCATGGTTTGTTCCCCTGCAGTCGAATGGCGAATTGGATAATGTAACATGCAACCCATACGCAACGACAAACAGAGTGAACAATGACGGTAGTCACCTGCATCGATGATCTGCGCCGCCTGCATCAGCGGCGCGTGCCAAAAATGTTTTACGACTATGCTGAGGCGGGCTCCTGGACGGAAGCCACCTTTCGACGAAATGCCGAGGCCTTTGCTGAACTTGCGCTGCGGCAACGGGTTGCGGTGGACATCTCTGAGCGTTCAATAGCCACAGATATGCTCGGCGAACGGTGGCGAATGCCGGTTGGCATTGCGCCCACCGGACTTGCCGGCATGCAGCATGCCGACGGTGAAATTCTGGGGGCGCAGGCGGCAGAAAATTTTGGCGTCCCTTTTGTGTTGTCGACCATGAGCATCTGTTCCCTGGAAGAGGTTGCCGCGCATACGCGCAAGCCATTCTGGTTTCAACTGTATGTCATGCGCGATCGGGCCTTTATCGAAGCGCTGATTGAAAGGGCAAAAAAGGCGGGCTGCAGCGCGTTGGTGTTGACCCTGGATCTGCAGGTGATCGGTCAACGTCACAAAGACGTAAAGAACAATATGACCGCGCCGCCCAAACTGACCCTGGCCAATCTCATCAACATGGCCACCAAACCTGGATGGTGTCTGGGCATGTTGAAAACGCCGCGGCACAGCTTTGGCAATGTGGTGGGACACGCCAAAGGCGTTGAAAATCTGACTTCTTTATCTGCGTGGTCGGCAGAACAATTGGACCCGACGCTCAGTTGGGACGATGTTGCCTGGGTGAAATCCAGATGGGGGGGCAAACTGATTCTAAAAGGCATTATGGACAGCGAAGATGCAAAAGCGGCGGTGCAAAGTGGTGCGGATGCAATTGTCGTTTCCAACCATGGCGGCCGACAGCTGGATGGTGCGCCGGCCAGTTTAGATGTGCTGCCACAGATTGTGCAGGCGGTTGACAAGCAGGTCGAAGTTTTTCTGGACGGTGGTATCCGCAGTGGTCAGGATGTGCTTAAAGCTCTGGCCTCGGGTGCCGATGGCACTTTCATTGGCAAAGCGTTTCTCAACGGTCTGGGGGCCATGGGCGAAGCAGGGGTCACTCGTGTATTAGAGATCATTGCCCAGGAGCTGGATTTGACCATGGCTTTCTGTGGGCATACCGATATCAATCAGGTAGATTCCAGTATCTTCTGGAGGAGAGATTAAGATGGCTGATTTGGCACAAACAGCGCCTGCGTTTGTCGACATGGCGCATAAAATCGTCTGGTGCACGGTGGCAACTGTGGATAAGCAGGGACGGCCTCGCTCACGTGTGCTGCACCCGGTTTGGGAATGGGATGGTGAGCATCTGGTGGGTTGGATAGCGACTGCGCCAACGCCGACCAAGGTGGGACATCTGCAGAACAGCAGCTTTGTATCCTGCAACTACTGGACGCCGGATCAGGATACCTGTGTGGCTGAATGTGCAGCATCCTGGGTGATGGACGATGAAGGTAAAGCGGCAGTCTGGGACAAAGTAGCCAATGCGCCTGCGCCAGTTGGCTATGATCCCGCAATGATTCCAGGATGGGAGAATTCTCAGTCACCTGGTTTTGCCGGCTTGCGACTTGATCCCTGGCGAATTCGCGTTATGCCCGGGCCAGCCATGTTGACTGGCGAAGGTATTCTGGTCTGGAAAAAATAACGTACTTACAAATTTTTAAAAATGGTAGGGGAGACAAAATTGGCAATAGCAACTGAACTTTTCGATTTAAGCGGGCAGGTTGCCCTGTTGACTGGCGCATCCAAAGGTATGGGGCAGGCAATGGCTACCGCGTTGGCCCAACACGGCAGTAAAGTGGTGGTGTCCAGTCGCAAACTGGATCAATGTGAGGAAACGGCTGCCCAGATTAATGAGCTTTGCGGCGAAGAACGTGCTATCGCTATCGCCTGCAACATTGGCTACAAAGACCAGCTGCAGAACCTGGTTGATGAAACCCGCAGTCGCCTTGGTCCCATTGATACGCTGGTTGCTAATGCAGGCGTCAACCCGTTTTACGGTTCGATGTCAGATATTCCAGACGAAGCATTTGACAAGATTATGGCCAGCAATGTGCGCTCGAATCACTGGCTCTGCCAGATGGTGGCGCCAGACATGCATGCCAAAGGGCGTGGTGCGATTATGATTACCTCAAGTACAGGCGCATTTTCCGGTTCAGAAGTGCTGGGCACGTATAATATTTCCAAGCTGGCTGATATTGCGCTGGTGCGTAACCTGGCCCTTGAGTGGGGGCCTAAAGGTGTACGCGTGAATGCCATCTGTCCTGGTCTTATAAAAACTGATTTTGCAAAAGCGCTGTGGGATAACCCTGAGGCGGTCGCCCGGGTGAATGAGCAAACGCCTCTGCGTCGCCTTGGAGAGAGCAGCGATTTTGAAGGTATTGCGGTTTTTCTGGCTTCCGATGCCAGCGCATATATAACAGGCCAGGCTTTGACCGTCTGTGGCGGCACTAATATGTATCGGTAGGTTCACCTGATAACGATTGCATTTTAGATGATCAAGTCGCTCCTGAGCTGGTTGCTGATGCTCGTGTTAGCAGCGGTCCTGGGTGTGTTTGGATTTCTTCGTTCAACGGTACCTGGTGATCCGGACACTCTGGTCGCAGCCGTTGGGCAACCAGTCCAGATCTATTACGATAAATTCAAGACACCCTTTGTGCGAGCGCAGTCCTGGCAGGATGCTTATCTTGCTCAAGGCTGGCTGCATGGCCATAACCGACTCTGGCAGATGGAGCTGTTCCGTCGTGCCGGAAAAGGGCGCTTAGCAGAAGTATTGGGTGCGGGTATGTTGGACACCGATGCCAATATGTTCCGTGCCGGCGTACCCCTGTTGGCGCAGCGGCTGGAAGACAATGCATCTGAAGACTTGCGCAGTTTTGTTGCTGCCTACGTTGCAGGTGTGAACCTTTCCATAGTGGGTGAAGACGCCACACCTTTGGCGCCCGAGTTTCGTCTGGCTGGCTTTAAGCCACAGCCGTGGCAGGTCTCAGACGTGTATGCCCTGGGCGCGTTGCTGGCATTTCAGTCAGGCAATAACTACCGAAACGAGTTACTGCGGTTTGCGCTGGTAAACCAGTTGAAAGACCGTCTCCCCGATGTATCTGGGGAGGTTTTCAATACCTGGACTAAAGTTCTGGGACCTGTGGATACTCAGTTACCGGATTTTCCGTACGTCTTTGATGAACAAGCTTTGCTGGGTTTACTGGCGCAAACTGATCATCTGGAGCCACAGTTGCAACCGTTGTTGTCAGCGCCGCGTTTGGGCAGCAATGGCTGGGTGATCAGCCCGGAGCGTACTGCTGAAGGATACGCTCTGTTTGCCTTTGATTCTCACGATGCGCTGTCAATGCCTAATCTGACTTACGACGTTCATCTGTTTGTCGGGCCGGAGCAGATCCGTGGCGCGTCTGTACCCGGTTTGCTGGGCGTTATTAACGGTTTTAATGAATTCATGGCCTGGGGGTTTACCAATACCGGCGATGCTCAGGATCTGTTTATTGAGCAGCGCAGTTCCGAGTCCGAGTTACATTTCATGGGCCCGCAGGGTGTTTATGTGGCGCAAACGTCTGAGGTGTTGATTCCGGTGAAAGATCAGTCGCCGCACCGGATAACAGTGGTGACCACGGCCAATGGTCGTCTGCTCAGCGAAGCCCCGCCGCTTGCGTTGCGGTGGTCTGCACTGGAGGTACCCAATGCCGGTCTTGACGCGTTGCTGGCGTTAAATCGCGCAACCAGTTATACATCGTTCACTGCCGCGCTGGATAGTTTCGTTGCGCCCAGTGCAAACACTACCTACGCGGATATCAACGGCAGAATTGCATTTCGTACCGTCGGCGCGTTGCCGATCCGTGGTACCGGTGAAGGGTTGCTGCCGATAGAGGGTGGCGTCGCAGAGCATGCCTGGCAGGGTATGATTCCCAGTAATGAACTGCCACGTATCAGCAATCCCGCCGCTGGTTTTGTTGCTGCGGCAAATGCGCGTATACAGCCAGGGCCGCCGCTGATATCCGCGGATAATTCGCCAGGTTATCGAATCGAGCGCATTCAGTCTGTGCTTAGGAATACCTCTGCAGCTACCTTTGCAGATATGCAGGCGCTCCAGGTGGATTGGTTTAATGTTCAGGCGCAGCGTCTGCTGCCGCTGTTATTGGACGCCGTCGACACAGCCACGCTCGATGCCCAGGCAAAGCTGAGCTATAAAACCCTCGAATCCTGGGCCCTGCAGCCGGAAAATCTGCCTGAATTATCTCAGCCGCTTCTGTTTGCCGCCTGGTACAGGCATCTTGGGTTGCAGATTTTTCCGCCGCTGCTTGGTGACGAGCTGACCCATCGGATGATGGACAGCGCCTACGTTTTTAATCATGCGTTAGATGGATTGTTAATGCGGTATGTCGACTCACCCTGGTGGCAGGGCAAACGTAGCGAGCTGATTACCCGCGCACTGATCCAGGCGCAGGAAGAGGTTGGCTCGAGACAAAACTGGCAGGATCAACACCAGGTGTTGATGCGCCATGAACTGTCAGGTGCCGTACCTGGACTCGGCGTGCTGCTGGATGACGGTCCTTTTCCCTGGGGTGGAGGCAACCCAACGGTCGGGCGTGCACGTTACAGTTATAACCGACCCTATACAGCAACCGGTGGTGCAACGGCGCGGCTGGTCATCGCGATGCAGCAACCCATGCAGGTGGAGAGCATCAGTCCAGGCGGGCAGTCTGGTCACTTTATGAGTGTGCATTATGATGATCAGACACCACTATGGCTGGCGGGCGAATTGAATCCACTGGCTTCACAGCCCGAACAACTGGGCGCACCGTCGACGACGCTCATCCCGCAAGAGGAGAACTGACATGACGCAGCAATGGATCGACCCGTATGCCGGTTTTGAGTACACACCTGAGACGATCTCAGTCAGCCGTGAACATCAGCATGCAAAGCTTAACGCCTGCGGTATTGATGCCGATGTATTTGCTGATGAGGTTGATCCTTCATTTTTCATAGGTCTGGCCATTCACGCGGGTATCAACAGCGGCATTACCGCCGAAGGCAACATCAATATGCTGCAGAGTCTGTTGCTTTATAGATCACCGAAGCTGGGTGAAGATCTGCACGTCAAGGGACTGATTCGTGAGGTCAAGCCGGTACCTCGCGGCCGTACGCTGCATTCAGAGGTGAGTTTCAGTGACGCCAGTGGGGAGATTGTGATTCAGGCCAATCGTGTGTCTCTGAAACCTGACCCGGAAAGTCAGGCCAGCCGTGGTGCTGGTGATAAACCAACACCGATTGTGACCGATGCAGGCGCGCTGCAGCGGGCAGGCACTTATCAGCTGACGCCGGACGGAGTGAAAGCCTACAGTTCGGAAGGCAACAGTATCCATTATGAAGAAGCCGCAGCCATCCGCGCCGGATTCCGGGCGCCACTGATTGGTGGGGGTATGGGGGTACATTTTCTGATGGCACATCTGTGGGCTTCGGGTGCGGAGCGTCGCCCAGCCTCATTCTCGGCGGATATTTATTTCAGACGGCCGATTTTCTGGGATGAGGCTGTGACTGTAGCCGTTGATCAGACTGCTGCGCCTGGCGTTATGGCGCTGCTCAAGCCCGACGGCAAGGTGGGTACAGAACTGGCTCTGCACCCACTTCATAAGCGGTAGATTTCAGACCGGCAGGCGCACCCTCGCGGTGCCGAATACGCGGGTTTCATCAGCCGCGTTTTTCAACGTCATGTCCAGTTCTACTAACCCTGTTTCTTCATCGATGTCGGTAACCACCGCGCCGATATGACAGGGTTCGTCGGCAATCATCGGTGCACGGAAAACCGTGTCGATGTGTTCTATAACCGCGTGTTCACTCCACTGGTGGATGGTTGAGGTGAGGAACCCCATCCCCATGATGCCAGGCACCAGAGCGCCCGGGAGGCCCTGCTCGCGTGCAGCGGCGTGGTCTTCAAAACGTGCGCCACCCCAGCCAACTGCGTGGGCAAACTTGCTCACTTCAGCCAGCGATGTGTCAGGTGTAAAAGTGGGTAGCTCAACACCGAACTCGACGTCGGCAATGGTATTGATACTCATCAGTTGCTGTTCTCCCTGATGACAAGACGAGAGTCTGTGGTGGCCAGGTGGGTGTTGTCCGCGTCGAAAAGTTCGAGCCGCACAACAATCAGAATCATGCGTCCGGAACGACCTTTTTTATCGTAAATATCGTGCAGGTGTGTGCGACCGGTCAGCGGCACGCCTGCTCGCACCGGGGCAAAACACTCAACCGCCTTGCCGCCGTCCATGGGGATACCGCCGAGTTTTGGAAAGTCGATAGGCAGGTGTCGGCCAGAGGCGAGGCTGCAGAGTACCGCCGGCGGTGCCTGAAAATCTGCATGGTCCGGATTCAGGTAAACCTCACGGGTTTCGCCTGAGGCACGCGCTGCGGTGACTATTTTTTCTGCATCCAGGACAAACTCTTTGCTGTCTATTTCCTGGTTCAGAAAATTCTCTTTCAGTTCTTCTATATCAACCATAACCCGTCCGCGACAAATTGCTGCGGGGATCATATATGCTGAGGGAATCTCTGATCAAATATCAATTGGTCAGAGATTCCCTATTTTTTAAGCGAAAGGAGAGAGTGATGGGACCATTAAACGGAGTGAAGGTGATTGAACTGCAGGGCATTGGCCCAGGACCTTTCTGCTGCATGATGCTGGCCGATATGGGCGCAGAAATTATCCGCGTTGATCGGGCCCAGGCAGTAGGCAGCGCAGCTAACGCAACGGACATTCTGGCCCGTGGTCGCAAGAGTATTGCCGTTGACCTGAAAAGTGCGGAAGGTGTTGAAACGGTTCTGAAGCTGATTGAAAGTGCGGATGTTCTGGTTGAAGGTTTTCGCCCCGGTGTCACAGAACGGCTGGGACTGGGACCTGATGTGGCGTTGGCACGCAACCCCAAGCTGGTTTACGGCCGCATGACCGGTTGGGGCCAGACGGGCACGATGGCGCCAGTCGCCGGACATGACATTAATTATATTTCGCTGTCGGGCGCGCTGCACGCGATTGGCGAACCGGGTGGTGCGCCGGTGCCTCCATTGAATCTGGTGGGTGACTTTGGCGGCGGCGGTATGCTGCTGGCTTTTGGTATCGCGGCTGCGCTCTTCGAAACTCAGAAGTCTGGTGCAGGGCAGGTCATCGACGCCGCCATGACAGATGGCTCGGCGTTGTTGATGAACGCGGTCTTCGGTTTGATGAACAGTGGCCGGTGGAGCCAGAACAGAGGAGAAAACCTGCTGGATGGTGGCGCACACTTCTATGGCACCTACCAGTGCGCGGATGGCAAATGGATATCTATTGGCTCCATTGAACCGCAGTTTTACCAGCTGTTACTTGAAAAAACCGGTCTCATCAATGACGCGAGTCTGCCGAAACAGATGGATCGTGAAAAATGGCCGTTGCTAAAAGAAAAGCTGGTGACGGTGTTTGCCAGCAAGTCACGGGATGCCTGGGATGAGATCATGCTCGGCACGGATATCTGTTATGCGCCGGTGCTGAATTTTGATGAAGCCACTGCGCATCCGCATAATGTCGCGCGACAGACCTTTGTCGAGTCGCATGGAGTGACCCAGGCAGCACCAGCGCCACGTTTTTCACGCACAGCGCCTGAGCTGCCGGGGCCCGGTGTCGCGCCGGGTAGCCACACTAACGAGATTCTGGCGGCGCTGGGAATGAGCGAGGCTGATATCAGTGCGCTACTTGCAAGTGGCGCAGTTGCCTAATGCTTACAACATCCATAAACCCTCCTGTTGCTGCCGCTATATGATTTGATCTGAAGAGACAAATACACGCAGTTCGTTGGGGGATGAGCTATGTTGAAGCGCTATGCAAGGGCGATTGTCGCCGTTGTGCTGTGCTGCTCGCCGGTGGCCTATGCCGGCGAAGTAGCCACATGGGTAGACAATAATGGGGTCACTCATTTTGGTAACCCGCAATTTGCACCGCCGGGTGAAGCCCAGGCAGTCGTCGTGAAGCCTGCAAACGGCATGGACGTTGTGGTGACCAATAATAATCGTCGTACCGGTTCGTCAGGGCCTAAAGTGTCGATCTTAGAGCGGACCCGGGTAGAGAATCCACGTGGATTTCGAGGTTACCAGGGTCGTGAGGCAGGTAGCCGCATTGGTCGTAGACGATACTAATGTCTATGGATTGTCCAGCTGCTGGTGCACATCGAAGTCGATCAGGGCTTTAGCACTCGCGTAATCAATCTCCGCGGCAACGGCACACGCAAGCACATCTTCGTATTCAGACTTCCAGCGCTGCTGACCATTGGGTTGAGTGACGCGTTTGACCCTCACCTCACCCAGGCGTGTCGTCAGCTTCAGCTCCTCGCGGGGCAACACCCGTTTTACGAAGGGTGTCATGCGCAGACCAATGGTGGTGGAGCTGTTTAGAAGGGTGTCTGCAATCTGGTCTTTGTCTGCTGCATGGCTTAAGGCGACCAGGACCTGCGCAGGTCGACCTTTTTTCATGAGAATCGGTTGCAGATAGACATCTACTGCGCCTGCTTTAAACAAGCTGTCGATCAACGGTGCAAACCCTTCCGGTGACATATCGTCAATATTGGCTTCAATTTTATAGTGCTGCGCACCCACACTGCTGGTGTCGCCGGCTGCTTCATACTCACCAAGCGCCACTCTTAATACGTTGGGTACTTCGAAGTCTTTGTGGCCGATGCCATAGCCAATTTTACGTGGCGTGAAAACACCTTTTGGTGAAAACTCGTTCACGCTGGCAGCCAGTATGGCTGCGCCGGTGGGCGTTGTTGATTCCCCACTGACCGTGCCGTAGGTACATGGCGCATTGGCCAGCAGCTCCTGGGTGGCAGGCGCCGGCACCGGGAAACGACCATGCGCGCAATTGACAAAACCACTGCCCACTTCGATTGGGTTGCACAACACCACATCGGGTTGGAAGTGCTCGATGCATATTGCTGCGGCGACAATATCGATAATGGAGTCAACTGCACCAACCTCATGAAAGTGCACTTTATCAGGCGTCACGTTATGAATCTTGCCTTCGGCGATTGCCAGCCCCTGAAAAATCGCCAGCGCGCGCTTTTCGATACCGGGTGCAAATTCTGCAGCCCGGACAATTTTAACAATGGTGCTGTGATGACGATGGTCGTGGGCATCCTGGGCGTTAACCTGGCAGCGGGTGCCGGCAATCCCCATTTTACTGGCGGGTGAGAGATCAAGCTGATATTCACTGGTGACCGGTAGTTTGGCCAGTTGCGTTCGCAGCCACTGTTCCGGTACCCCCAGGTCAACCAGTGCTGCCAGGTGCATATCACCTGACAGGCCACAACTGGGTTGATAGAAAAGCGCTGTCTGGCGATCAGGCAATATCGAAATAGTCCGCTGAAGTTGCGGCCGCGGTGAAGTTTTCACGCAGATGCAGCAGGCTCTGCATGTCTGCGTTTACAACATCCAGGCCGTGTTCCAGAACGTAGGCGTAGCTGCGTTGAAATTCAGAGAGTTTTGCTTCGAGCAGTTTGGGTTCGTAGAAATCGTTGAATGCATCTGGATTCCCCCAGCCCAGCCAGGCGCGTCCTGCGAGGAAACGTCCTGCTTTCATCCCAACCAGGCCAATACCTGCGTCGCGTGCTTTATCGAGCAACGGGCGGATGCCGGTCATTGGTGGCGTACCGTCCAGTACTGATTTGTCTTCCCAATCGTACCAACCGCCTGGCGTAATGGCGATCATGGCCAGATCAAACCAACCGGTGTCTGCGGCGGCAGACAGGACGTTAGCTGCGTTCTGGTGCGTCGATAAACCCAGATAGCTGACCTTGCCAGCAGCCTTGGCGGTTTCAAACGCGCGGTAGATCTCTTCGTTGCTGATCACGCTGACGTTGTTAGAAGCCATGTAGTAGTAGGCATCGACGTGGTCAACGCCCATCTCCCGCAGGCTACCGTCCAGGTATCCACTCCAGCCTTTGGCGGCGGCTTTCGCCTGGGCGACGGTGATGGTTTCGTCCCAGTCGATATCTGTCGGTACGTAGGCTTTGGAAATGAGGAAAATTTTGTCGCGATGGGTTTTCAGGAAAGGCGCCAGGTTCTTTTCCGCATCGTTGTAGTAGTCGCTGAAGCCAACATCAAAGGTATTGACGCCGGCATCAAACGCCGCGTTCAATAAGTCGTCATGGGGCTCGCGAGATAAGGTTGCGCCACAACCGAAGACCAGCCGGCTTGAATTGTGACCTGTGCGGCCGAGGGTACGGTATTTCATTTCCGGCCAGGGACCGTTCAGGCCGGCGGCTTCTTTGCCATCAAAGATTGAGGCTTTGACGTCACCAGATCGCAGTAAAGTTTGAGCGCCAACACCTAACATGGTGCCATATTGAACGAAGCGTCGACGAGTACTTGAAACAACGGAATCTGACATGGGTGCTCTCCCACAAGCAAGGGTTGTCAGATTCTACGCTGCCTCAACCTGAGCAGGCAAATGGTGATAGGGTATTAAAAGTCAGCAAGCGCTAACAGGAGGGGGCGTGCGGAAGAGACAGATTGTACGGAAGGTTGTCAGATTCGGCGCTGTGCTGAGCATGCTGGTTGCGCAGCCCGCGGTGGCCGAACTGGATCTTGCTCCACTGCCGGATGAATTATGGAGTGCGACCTACGCAGGACATCTGGCTAATCGGGCAGGTTTCGGCGCAGGGCTGACTGAGCGTGATGCCCTGGGTCGTTTAACACCAGGCCAGGCCGTGCAACGTTTTGTGCAGGGGCTGGACATTAATCCTCTGCAGCCGTTTGAAGCCTCCGACATTTTTGATCCGGGTCTCGACCCATTTCCACCCAGCCGTCCTGCAGCCACAACGCTGGCGAAAAGTCAGGGCCATGCATTAGGCGTGAAGGTGAAACCCTCGGGTAACCGCCCTTTGCAGCCGGTGGTTGACCGGTTCTTCTACTGGCTGCGTGCCAGTTATCTGGAAACTGATCGGGTCGCCTACTGGTGGGCCAATCGCATGCTGACCACGGCACATCCCCTGCAGGAAAAGGTGGCACTTTTCTGGCACGGACACTTTGCCACGAACGAAGATAAGGTAAGAGACTATCGGAAAATGCTGCAGCAGCTGCAGTTGCTGCAGGAGTATGGTCTTGGCGATTTCAGAACGCTGCTGATCGGCATAGCGCAAAACCCGGCAATGCTGGCGTTTCTTGATGCAGGCGTGAACACAAAAGACTCACCTAATGAGAACTTTGCTCGTGAAATTCTTGAACTGTTCACTATGGGGGTTGGTCACTACAGCGAGCGTGACGTGCAGGAAGCGGCACGGGCCTTTACAGGCTGGCACTTTGACGGTCTTGAATTTGTCGTGAACACCCAGCATCAGGATCTTGGCGCGAAACAGTTTTTGGGTCAGGAGGGCCCTTTTGACGGGATTGCGATTATCGATATTGTCCTTGATCAGGCACAAACAGCAAACTACATTGCGGCCAAGCTGTATCGTTACTTTGTGAATCAGGATCTGGCCGTTGAAAATAAGCCCCAGCTCGGGCAGCTGTTGGTGAGTGTGGATTACAATATTGCGGAGTATCTGGCGGTACTGTTTCGTTCCAACGATTTCTATCAACCTCAAAATGTCGGCTCGCGGATTAAGGGTCCGGTTGAACTTATGGTGTCGACTTATCGGCATCTGGGTTTACAGGCAGTGCCCGGCGTGCCGGATTTCAACCAGCAGAGTCAGGCGTTAGGGCAGCGGCTGCTGCATCCACCAACTGTCGCTGGCTGGTCCCATGGTCGGAGCTGGATCACGCCCAGCCTGCTGTTCGAGCGTGCAAATTTTATTCTGGACGTACTTTTTCCGGATCTCGGATTTGTTGCGCCGGACCGTTATCCCGTGTTTACGCCGGAGATCGTTAACGTACAGGCCCGCCTGCGCCAGGGCATGAGTGTCAGTGAGGCCACCAAACCAACAGGTGTTGCAGGCGGTGCGGACGAAATGGCAGCCTCCAACCTCCTGGCGGATCGTGATGAAGACTTTAATACCCGCCTGGGTAGTATGCGTGGCTGGCAGATGGCGTTGGAACGTGTAAAGCCGATTGAGCGGGCGCCGGCAAGAATTGATCTGACAAATATGGTGCTTGCTGCTGAATGCACAACACCGCTTCATGTGATCAACTATTTTGAGCGTCTGTTTTTTGCAGTGCCGTTGCCACCGGAGGTCAAAGTACAGCTCGCCAAACAGCTGCGCACGGGTTTGGGCACCACTGATCTGGTGCAGGCGCAGACATACATGGAAACGGCTTTACGCACTTTGTTACACGAGATGTTGAGTCTGCCGCAATATCAATTGGATTAATCGGGTCTAATCAATCGCAGCCGGCTAAGCGCTGGTGGATTGCAGGGGAGTAATTATGCAACGACGCCGTTTTTTACAGGCTGGCGCCACCCTGGCGGGCTTAAGCAGTCTGCCTAAACTGAGTGCATCGACAACGCTTGCGTCAGATGCACCTGTACTGGTTGTTGTGGAGCTCTCGGGTGGCAATGACGGGCTGAACAGTATTGTACCGTTTGCAGATGATGCTTATTACCGCCATCGCCCGAACCTGGGGATACAACAATCTGATCTGCTGGCCCTGGACGATCACTATGGCTTCAACCCAGGCATGCTTGGACTGCAGAGGTTGTGGCAGCAGGACCAGCTGGCCATTGTGCATGGTTGTGGTTATCCCCAGCCATCCTATTCTCATTTCACTTCCATGGCGTATTGGCACACGGGTGTACCCCATCGGGGCAGTGAGTTCGGTTGGCTCGGACGCGTCGCTGATCAAATGGTGGCGACCCGCCGTGATGACATGTTGGTAAACGTTGCCGCAACGGCCTCGCTGGCAGTCAAGAGTAAGGTGCATACACCGGTGGTGTTTGACGACCCCAATCGATTCTGGCGCAATGGCTGGCTCGATGGCGTGCCCTCTATTGCGGTGGATTCAAGCAGCACGGAAGAGGAAGTGAAAAGCCCAAACGCGGCTTATCTGCAAGCGGTTAACCGCAGTGCACAACAGTCTTCTGCGCGTATCAGACAAGCCTGGAACGACTACAACACCCCGGTTGATTATGGCATTGCGCCGATGGATTTACCCAAGGTGGCGGCGTGTATTCAGGCAGGATTAGATACACAGATCTATCATGTGGCATTTCGTAATAACGCCTTTGATACCCACGTGGCACAACCTGCACTGCACCGGCGTTTGCTGAGTTATGCCTGTGACGGAATTTATGGGTTTATAAGGGATCTCGAGCGGCTGCAGCAGGCGCATCGGGTGGTTGTACTGGTGCATTCAGAATTCGGTCGCCGGGTACCGGAAAATGCAAATCAGGGTACTGATCATGGGACGGCCAACACCATGTTCCTGGTGGGTGCGCCAGTGGCGGGTGGCCACTATGGGGAGCCTGTAGATCTGGTGAATCTGGTGGAGGGTGACAACCTGGCGCACACCACAGACTTTCGCCAGGTATACGCCACGGTGATGGAACGCTGGCTTGGTGTGCCGTCGAAAACTGTGTTGTTCGACGATTTTGAATTAATTGACGCATTGACGCCTCTTTAGAGTCGCTTATGCTGCTGGGAGGGGCTCGCGGGTGCTTTGCTAAACCGCTAGCATGTGGAACTTTTGTTGAGGGGAGATCACGTTGTCCGAAGTACAAGACCAGCCGCAGGCTGACAATCCAAGTGTGTTCAGTAAACAGGCCCGGCATTATGCCCTGGGTGTGTTGGTGGTGGTGTACACCTTCAACTTTATTGATCGCCAGATTCTGTCGATCCTGTTGGAACCCATCAAGGCTGATCTAGGCTTGTCGGATACCCAACTGGGTCTGCTCACCGGGTTTGCGTTTGCCCTGTTTTACGCCACCATGGGTATTCCCATCGCACGTTATGCGGATAAAAATAATCGCCGCAATCTGATTGCGCTGTCGCTGACCATCTGGAGTGGTTTCACAGCCGTTTCGGGTCTCGCGCAGAATTTCTGGCACCTGTTGATTGCGCGTATTGGCGTCGGCGTGGGTGAGGCGGGTTGTAGTCCACCGGCACATTCACTGATTTCCGACTACTTTCCGGCAGAGAAACGCGCTACTGCATTGGGGATATATTCTCTAGGTATTCCAGTAGGCATTCTGTTTGGCTTTATCGCCGGTGGCTGGCTGAACGAGTTTTTTGGCTGGCGCGTAGCGTTTTTTGTCGTTGGCGTTCCGGGGATCATATTGGCTCTGGTGGTGCGCTACTCCCTGCGTGAACCCACCCGCGGCATGGCAGAAGGTCGAGTTGATACCGGTCAGCAACCTACCACCAAAGAAACCTTCAAGTTGCTCTGGAGTAAGCGATCATTCCGCCATCTTGCATTTGGTGCCGCATTGACCGCCTTTGTTGGTTACGGTCTGGTCACCTGGGTGCCTTCGTTCCTTATCCGTTCTCACGGTATGACAACCGGCGAAGCGGGCACATGGTTAGGTCTTATTCTGGGTATACCCGGCGGTATTGGTATCGCCCTAGGTGGTTGGATGGCTGATCGCTACGGTTCAAAAGACACCCGCTGGTACTTGTGGGTGGTTTCTGTTGCTCTGTTACTCGGCACCCCTTTCGCGTTTGGTGTTTTCCTGTCTGACTCTGTCGTCTGGTGTCTGCTCTTTCTGATCATGCCGGTCCTGTTAGGTAACTTTTACCAGGCCACAACATTTTCTCAGACACAGGGCCTGGTAGAACTGCGAATGCGCGCAGTAGCCGCAGCAGTGCTTCTGTTCATTATTAACATTATCGGATTGGGCGCAGGCCCTCAGGCAGTGGGCATTGTCAGTGATCTGCTCAATGATCGTTTTGGTCAGGAGTCCCTGCGCTATAGCCTGTTGATTTTCTCTTTTGTGAATATCTGGGCAGCATTCCATTACTACAAAGCCGGCCAGTACCTTAAAGCTGATCTGGTGCAGGAATAACCGATGAGGACATGTGTCGCGGCGCTGTTCACTGTCTTGTTGGTTGCTGCTTGCGGTAACGCCAGTAACAGCGCTGCGGGGTCAGCGTCACCAGCGCCGGAGAAGCCTGAGGCACAACCTTCGCAACCCAATGTCATTGTGCTGTTTGCAGATGATATGGGATATGGCGATATTGGCAGTTTTGGCCATCCGTATAACCGGACGCCACACATTGATGAGCTGGCAGCACAGGGGCAGCGCTGGACAGATTTTTACGTCGCTGCGCCAGTCTGCTCACCCAGCCGTGGTGCTCTGTTAACAGGGCGCTTACCGGTCCGAACGGGTCTTTATGCTGAAATCATTGGGGTTTATTTTCCAAATGATCCAGGAGGTTTCCCCGCTTCTGAGGTAACGCTTGCTGAAGCCCTGCGGGCAGTAGGGTACCGCACCGGCATGTTTGGCAAGTGGCATCTGGGTGATGCAAAACACGCCTGGCCAACCCGTCACGGTTTCGACGAATGGTTAGGGCTGCCTTATTCGAATGATATGGATGTGGTAGGGGAAATCGGCATCGATCAGATCATTGCCTTGAGCATGCAGGGCAAGCAGCAGGAAGTGGCTGCGGCGCTGGCGGGACGCGCTGCAAAATATGCCGATCCTGAACCCGAATACTGGCGGCCACCTCTGTTCAGCAGTGTTGTCACCGCGGATGGGTTTAAAGATGAGGAACTGGAACGGCCAGTTGATCAATCCACCCTGACAAAAAGGTACACCTCTGCCGCCATCGACTTTATCAAGCGTGCGGGTGACGATCCTTTTTTTGTCTATCTGCCATACACCATGCCGCATACGCCACTGTTTCGCAGTGCAGATTTTGTTGGGAGAAGTATTGGCGGTCGTTACGGTGACGTGATCGAAGAAATCGACTGGAGTGTGGGTGCGCTCAAGCAGGCGCTGGAGGAGACCGGGAACGCTGAAAATACCCTGGTGATATTCACCAGTGACAACGGGCCCTGGCTAACGATGGAAATAGAGGGTGGTCGAGCAGGCCTGCTGCGCCACGGCAAAGGTACAACTTTCGAAGGGGGTATGCGCGTGCCCACAGTCATCTGGTGGCCCGGACGTGTACAGCCTGGTGTAGTCAGTGAAGTGGGTTCCGCGTTGGATGTCTTTAATACCGTGGCTGCATTGGCGGGAGCGGATGCATCAACGGCCGTGGATGGTGTAGATCTGGCGCCTGTCTTGTTCGACGGAAATGAAAGTCCGCGGGACGAAGTGGCTTTTTATCGGCGTGGAGTGTTACACGCCTATCGTAAAGGTCCCTGGAAAGCGCACTTTATCACCGAAGGGGCGTATCAACAGCCGCCAGCAAGAACGGTGCATGAAACACCTTTGTTGTACCACCTGCACACTGACCCTTCTGAGCGGTTCGATGTAGCTGCTGATAATCCGCAGGTGTTGGCTGAGATTGATGCGGCGGTGCAGCAACATCTTGCCAACATAGAACGGCGTCCGCCTGAGTTTGATAAACGTCTGCAACTCTGACGAATTGTGCGGCTGGCGTTTGCAGTTAGCTTACATTTGCAGGCCAGTTGATTGTGCTAACATCGGCGGTTGAATTTTCGTGAAAGGGAGAGACCATGAGCAGCGTCATGCAAGAACCAACGTCCGTAGTGCCTGATCCGTACAGTATTCCGCTGGAGGAACTGGATCCGGCGAAAATCGAGATTTTTCAGAATGACGCACTCTGGGGCTATTTTGAACGTCTGCGCAAAGAAGACCCGGTGCACTTTCTGCCAGACAGTGATTTTGGACCTTACTGGTCAATCACCAAGTTTGACGACATCATGTATGTCGATTCACATCACGAGCTGTTTTCCTCTGAAGGGGGTATTACCATTGGCCCCTTAAAGGAACTGGCTGAAGAAGCCAGCCAGTTTCAAACGCCCATGTTCATCGCGATGGACCCACCCAAACACGATGTGCAGCGCGCCACCGTAACCGGCGTGGTTGCGCCGCGTAATCTGGCAGCGCTGGAAGGTGTCATTCGTGAACGCGCGGGTAAAATTCTTGATTCATTACCCGTCGGTGAAACCTTTGACTGGGTAGATAAAGTGTCTATCGAGTTAACCACGCAGATGCTGGCTACGCTGTTCGACTTTCCTTTCGAAGAACGTCGCAAATTAACCCATTGGTCTGATGTGGCGACATCCGGGCCGGAAACCATGGGCATGGACGAGCGCCGTACGGAACTTCTGCAATGCCTGCAGTATTTCACCAACTTGTGGCAGGAACGCAAAGAAAACCCCAACCCGGGGTTTGATCTTATCTCGATGCTGGCCCACGGCGAAGAAACCAAAGACATGCAGCCTATGGAATTCCTGGGCAACCTGATCCTGTTGATTGTGGGTGGCAATGACACCACGAGAAATTCAATCACCGGCGGTGTGCTGGCGCTGAATCGCAACCCCGAGCAGTATGAAAAGCTGCGTAATAATCCGTCTCTGGTGCAGAGCATGGTGCCTGAAATTATCCGTTGGCAGACACCGTTGTCGCATATGCGCCGGATTGCCAAGGAAGATGTAGAGTTAGGCGGCAAAACCATTAAGAAAGGTGACAAGGTGGTGATGTGGTATGTGTCAGGCAATCGCGATGCAGAGGCCATTGAAAATCCGGATGATTTCATCATTGATCGTAAACGTCCGCGCCATCATCTGGCCTTCGGTTTCGGCATTCATCGTTGTATGGGTAATCGCCTGGCGGAAATGCAGTTGCGCGTGTTGTGGGAAGAAATTCTCAAACGCTTTGACCGGGTAGAGGTGATGGAAGAGCCACAGCGGACACCGTCAGTGTTTGTCAAAGGCTACACGTACATGCCGGTTAAACTGCACCCGCGCAAGGTTTAATGGCTAACTTTCCAACTTCCGAAATGGTGAGCCCGCAGTGGCTCACTGCCGTTTTGAACGACAATCAGATTAACGCAACGGTCACGGGCTTTAGCGCCAAGGCGGTAGGCACAGGTCAGATCGGCAAGTGTATTCGCTATGTGCTGACGTATGCAGATGGCGACAGCGGGCCGGCGTCCCTGATTGGCAAATTTCCATCTGATGATCCTGACAGTCGTGCGACCGGCGTGATGCTGCAGAATTTTCTGAAAGAAGTCAGTTTCTATAAACAGCTGCAGGACAAACTGTCGATTCGCACACCACATTGCTATTTTGCTGACATTGTTGGTGAGGGGCCTGATTTTGTCATCCTTATGGAAGACCTTGCACCAGCCGAGCAGGGTGATCAACTCCTTGGATGTGATGTGGAAGTGGCGCGGGCGGCGGTCCTGGAGCTTGTGGGTTTGCACGCGCCATCCTGGTGTGATGCACAGTTAAAACAGCAAACCTGGCTGTATAATGCTGACGCTGCCGGCACCGACATGATGCGCACCATGTACAACGCGCAACTTCCGGGTTTCCTTGAACGCTATGGGCCTGCATTGTCTGCGGATGAGCAGGCCATTATTGCCCGGGTAGGCGAAGCGCACAGCACGCCGCTGTATGACGGGTTGCAGGATGTGTTCTCGCTGGTGCATGTTGACTATCGTCTCGATAATCTGATGATCGACAAATCTGCTCAAGATCCGCAAGTGACCGTGGTGGACTGGCAAAGTATTACGCTGGGTGCGCCACTGAATGATGTGGCTTATTTTCTGGGTGCGGGTATGTTGCCCGCGCAACGTCTGCAGGAAGAAGAAGCGATTGTTCGTGCTTACCACGCCAGGCTGCTGCACGCCGGGGTGACAGATTTTGACTGGCCGACCTGCTGGAATGCTTATCGGCGCGGGACGTTTGCAGGCTTTGGGGTCACTGTAGTTGCTTCTATGCTTGTACAGCGCACAGATCGCGGCGACAAAATGTTTACCACCATGGCCCAGCGTCATGCACGCCACGCCATTGACCTGGGTGCGGGTGAGTTCCTAGTCTGACTCTGTCTCGAACACTTCAATACCTTCTTCACTGACAATGGCGTACAGCGCGCCAGCCAGGTCTTCGGTGGTCCTGGGATCGCTGTTGAAAGCCAGCAGTCTGGCCGGATCTCCGCTGGCAACGTTGGATGGAAGCACCAAATTACCGTTTTCGATGTCTGCAGGATCACCCGCCACTATCCACTTGCCGCGCATGTCCATGCCAATGGAATCGTTAGGCAATTCCACCATTCCTCGTGGCCCCCATGCCACCAGGGTGTTGTTGCTGATTACAACAACACTATCGGCGATGTTTTCGGCGAGCAGAAAGGTGCCACCGGACAGAATTGTGGTGTCTGATGTAGGCCCGGGTGGTGGCGCATCGGTATAGCCTGGAGGTAGCACCTCAGCAGTTTCGACAGGAAGTTCAGTTTCTGCAGTCTCTGTGGTTGGGTCCGAGCTACCACAGGCGGACAGCAGCATAACGCCAATCATTAACAGCAAATATCTCATGATGAATCCTCAACCTGGGTTTGTTTTTGTAGATCGCTGGCAACGTACCATAACTGGGTTCTTAATCGCAGGTACAGCAGTATGGCCAGCATGCCGATAACAGGTACCCAAACGGCATTACGCACACCCACCCATTCGGTCACGATACCCAGGGTGAAGCTGCCAATTGGCATGCCACCCATCAGACCCAATGAGTAGACAGACATGATGCGGGCGCGATGAGACTCGGTAGCCGCTTCCTGCACGATAGTGCGGGACATGGTCATGCCGATGCCGCCACAACAGCCCCACAGAAACACAACCGCGTAAAACAGCGGCTTGGGCAAATTAAACATGAGCAGGGATAAAACGCTGGCGCTGACGGCTGCGGCAATCAGTAAAACGCGTCCGGGTCTGGCGGTGCGACCTATGCGCATCAGGATAAAAGTCACCACGACGGTGCCCAGCATATTGGCGGCAAAGGTAGTGGCAATCTCTGCCGAACCGCCGTTATACAGATCGCGCACCATCAGCGGGAGCAGAACAACATAAGTGCCCGCAAAAAAGATGCCCACAGAAAAGGTCTGGCCGATAGCCGGCGCAAGTGCCCGATCGTGCCAGACCAGTTTCACGCCTTCGGCTATTGCGGTCAGTGGATGTTGGGTCTTGCCAGTTGGCTTCGGTGCAAGACTTGGAATTCGGGAAGTTGCCAGCGCCGCGCCCAGCATCAGGCTCGACATAATGATCAACAACAACGGTGGGCCGAGCACATCTGCGTTGTAACCCAATGCAAAACCAAAAATCTGTACGCCAAACTGCACACCCACAGCGAGGATGACAATGCGTTGAATATCCTGCCCGGCGACCCGGTTCAGCAGCGCATCCCTAGCAGGCTGCACAAATGCGGCAAAAGTACCGCCAACCAGGGCCCAGATGATCAACAGGGTGTAGTTGAAATGACCGGCATGGAAGACCCAGGCCATGACCATTGGCGGTATCGCCATCGCACAGGACAAGCCAATCAGCAGGCGCCGTTGATCAACACGGTCACCCAGCCAGCCACCCCACAAAATCAGCAGCAGCATGGGTAATTGTGACGCCATCTGCGCGAGTCCAACCCGGGTAGGTGTTTCGTGCAGAACAACGGTGACCAGCCAGGGAAACAACACCATCTGCACGCCGCCGGGAATCAGCAGCAGGGCTGTACCGGTTAGATACCAGCGCAGTCCATAGTTAATACTGCGCCTGCCCGCGCCCGGGATCGTTGTATTAACGAAGTCCTGCCCAGGCTGCTCGCTCATCTGCGTCGGGGTCGTTGAGTAAAGCCGATTGGGTGTTGAACGTCATGGTGACGCGCTCTGAGGTGTTGTAGGCAGGCCAACCAGGGCTGTCACCGTTGATGAACGCAATCCACGCCTGGTGCATTTCATCAGCAAGTGCCTGGGGTTGCGCTCCCGGCCCTAAAAACACATCAACACCTGCGCGATCGAGGTTGTTAAACGTGAACGGGATCTCCAGTGCGTGGGTTGCCTTCAAGCGTCCACCAAACGCTCTGGATTCCCATGCAAACAGGTACATCCAGGTCTGCGCACCATGAGGTTCCCGGGCTTCTGCCAGACGTATGGCGGGGATGCGGAACATGTGGTCTGTGGTCAGGGCGATCAGTAAATCTTCGACAGAAGCGCGTGGTCGTGCTCGGCGATAAGCGGCCAGCACTGACTCTGCGCCGTAGCCGGCGGCAATGCGCTCGAGTTTTTCTTCAGAAATATCCCCATAACCCCACAAGGTGGTTTCGTGGGCGTTGCTGCCGGTTAACACGGCGACGTTTTTGCCACAGCCATTGGCAATGGCGTCTAACGGCGATGCGGGTAACAGTGGCGTGCCGTGGGCAGGATAAAATGGTGAAACCGCCACCCCAAGCTCGTTTGCCACCCCTGCACCCTGTTCAAAATGACCGATCGTGGCCTGTTGTGCAGCGAGAATATCTTCAACGCTGACCGCCTCGAGCGCCAGTGCCTGATCAATGCCGTCATGATCTGGCAGAAGCTGTTCGAGGAAAGTTCGGGTGACTTTTTCTGCAGCCGCCTTGGGCAGCGTGTGATGGGCACCGCCACTTTGCGGTATGGCGCGTTGAAACAGGCCCTGTGCTGCATCGCAACCCAGCAGGGTGGCAACGCTGAATGCGCCAGCAGACTCGCCTGCAATGGTGACGCGATTAGGATCCCCTCCAAACGCCGCGATGTTGTCCTGCACCCATTGCAGAGCGGCTATCTGATCAAGAATGCCATTGATCCCGGAGTTGGCGTAGGTATCGCCCAGGTGGGACAAGTCGGTATAGCCCAGAGCGCCAAGCCGGTAGTTGATGGATACAACCACAATGTCACCGTTCTTGTTGAACGCCGTGCCGTTATACCAGGGGATAGAGCCCTGTCCGGTACGGTAGCCGCCGCCGTGTATCCAGACCAGCACGGCACGCTTGCCGTCGTCGGCGGCGGGGGTGGAGACATTCAGGTACAAACAGTCTTCTGCATAACGCACGCTGGCACTGTCTGTCAGTCCACCGCTGGGCACCTGCGGAGCTGCGGGAGAAAATTTCAAGGCCTCTCGTGGTGCCTGCCAGGCTGGGTGTGGCTGAGGTGCTTTGAAACGCAAATTGCCAACTGGCGGTGCGGCATAAGGCACTCCCGCAAAAAGCAGTACGTCGTCCTTCTTTCGCCCCTGTATGGGTCCGCTGGTCGTTTCTACCGTGGTGCGTTCTAACACAGTTATCTCCCCTTGAATTTCTGCATGTGCTCATTATGGAACAGTTCATGGTTAAGCTGAACGTTAATTAACCACTGAGCTCATTTGACCCGGTGGCATGGAAACCCTACATTGCGCAGGCGTTTAAATTAGGGGTGGTGACGTGCACGGTAAAATAGCAGTGCGGGTTTGGTGGCTGAGTCTAGTGCTGGTTGCGCAACCGCTGTTTGCGGAACAGGCATCTGTGGCAGAGCCCGCATTTGGCAGAACCATGGCCTGGAGTGCGTATAACCTGGGCACCACTGGCTACAACCAGGCGGTGGCTATTGGCAAAGCCCTGAAAGACAACTACGACGTCAATCTGCGTGTTGTCCCGGGCAAAAACGATGTGTCCCGACTGATGCCTCTGATTCGTGGTCGCGTACAGTATTCGGCCAACGGCGTAGCTACCTATTTTGCCCAGGAAGGGGTCTTTCAGTTTGCTGATCCGCGTTGGGGACCATTGCCTCTGCGTCTGGTCATGATGTCTTACGGCGATTCCAATCAGGCGCTGGCGGTGGCGGGCGACCTGGGTATCAAAAGCTATGCGGATCTGCGCGGTAAACGAGTACCTTACGTCCGTGGTGCACCCGCACTGAACATACCTACAGAAGCGTTCCTCGCCTGTGGGGGGTTAACCTGGGACGATGTTGAACGGGTAGATTTCCCCGGCTATAACGCCATGTGGACCGGTGTGGTTAATGGCCAGGTGGATGCAGCTTATGCCACAACCGTTTCTGGTCCGACCCGTAAGCTTGAGGCATCACCACGTGGCATTTTCTGGCCACCGGCACCACACAAAGATAACGACTGCTGGGATGCGATAAATAAAGTTGTACCGTTTTTCACGCCACATATGGCGACCCGTGGTGCGGCTATTTCCAGCGCACAGCCGCACGAAGGGGCAACCTATCCCTATCCAATGTTAATTACGCTGCCGAACACTGAGGCGAAAGAGGTGCACGACCTGGCCAAGGTGATCCATCTTCATTACGACGAATATAAAGATGCTGATCCTGGTGCAATCGGCTGGGCGCTGGACCGACAGATCCTTAAATGGCAGGTGCCTTATCATGAAGGGGCGGTGCAGTACCTGCGTTCGGTTGGCGTCTGGGGTGAAGCAGAGGATGTGCATAACTCACGCCTGATCGCACGCCAGGATCTTCTCGCGCAAACCTGGCAAACCCATGTAAAGACTAACAAAGGCAAAGCGGATTTCATTTCCCTGTGGTATCAGATGCGCGCAGCAGCGCTCACAGCTGCAGGGTTCGATCCCGTCTGGCAGGATCCTGGACCAGGCTAACTGATGCAGGACTCACGCTTCGTGCGATACCTTGTTGCTGGCGTGGCTACGCTGGTTTTGATACTGGCCATGGATACGTTGCGGTTGTTCGGCAGTGAGCAATGGCTGGGTATGCTGGTGCGGGTAGATTCGCAGTATTTTTATGCGTTGTTCGCTTTGCTGTTACCCGTCGCCTATCTGGTTTATCCAACCAAGGCCTGGATTGACTGGCCGCTGGCGCTGCTCAGCTTTGCCATCCTTTGCGCGTTTTTTGTGACCGCAGAACAAGGTCTGGATGAAGCCTGGGAGTTTGCTGCGCCTGAATGGGCTGTGATTGCCGCTCTGAGTTTGTGGCTGTGTGTGCTCGAGGCATTGCGCCGAGCGGGTGGCTGGCCGTTGTGTGTGATCGCCTCGATGTTCTCTCTGTTGCCGCTATTCACCGACTATATGCCGGGTCCGCTGAGTGGCTTGTCTGCCAGTTGGCGGGATACGGCGTCCTATCATGCGCTGTCGATTGAAAGCATGTTTGGCTTACCGTTTCAGGCATTTGCCAATCTGGTGGTTGGTTTTGTTGTATTTGGCGTTGTATTACAGCATACCGGCGGGGGCAAGTTTTTCCTCAACCTGGCGTTTGCGCTCCTGGGGCAGCAGCGGGGTGGGCCTGCCAAAGTAGCTATTGTTTCCAGCGGTTTGATGGGCTCAATGAGTGGCAGCGTGGTAACCAACGTGCTGACTACGGGCCAGATGACCATTCCTGCCATGCAGAAAGCCGGCATGCGCCCGCACATAGCAGGTGGCGTTGAAGCGTGTGCATCAACAGGCGGGGTGCTGCTGCCACCCATCATGGGATCCACCGCATTCATCATGGCGACGCTGCTGGAAATTCCTTACGTTGATGTGGCAACCGCTGCGGCGCTGCCAGCGTTGCTGTACTTTTTCAGTCTGTATATGCAGATTGATGCATACGCAGGACGTGAACAACTTGCCGGGCTGAGTGTCGAGGAACTGCCTTCGATTCGCGAGACGATGGCGGAGGGATGGTTTTACCTTGGTGCTTTTGCGCTGTTGATTTTTCTGCTGATATTCATGCAGCGTGAAGCGTTAGCGCCTTATTACGCGACGCTTGCGCTCCTGTTCCTGAATCAGCTATCGCGAGAACATCGCATGGATATGTCCGGGTTTGTGACCATGCTGGCTGCAACCGGACGACTACTGATTGAACTCGTTGTGATCCTGGCCGGTGTCGGGCTCATTGTTGGTGCGTTGTCTCTTACCGGATTGAGCGGCACGCTGGTGAACGATCTGCTCAGCCTGGCTGGTGACCAGTTAGGTCTGCTGCTGTTGATGGGCGCTTTGACCAGCTTTGTTCTGGGTATCGGCATGACCGTGACAGCTGCCTATATTTTCCTCGCTGTTGTGTTGGCCCCTGCACTGGTTGGGCAGGATCTGCTGCCGCTGTCGGCACACCTTTTTATTCTTTATTGGGCGATGCTTTCCTTTATTACGCCACCGGTGGCGCTAGGTGCCTATGCGGCGGCTTCGATTGCTAACGCCAGCCCTCTGCAAACCGGATTTGCCGCCATGCGCCTGGGTAGCGTTATTTATGTTATCCCCTTTGTGTTTGTGTTAGATCCCAGCTTTATCCTGCATGGACCCTGGCACGCTACCCTGCAGGCAGTGGTTGAAGCGGTTATCGGTGTCTGGCTGATGGCTGGTGCGGTACAGTCTTTTCTGCCGGGCATCGGCCATCTCAATCAGATTCCGGGGCGGGTCGCGATCGGCTTTGGCGGTTTGGCCATTGCACTTCCGGACCTCGCGCTGGCATGGGCTGCGGGTCCGGAAAACTGGGTTCATCTGATCGGTGGGGTGCTGCTTGTTATTGTTGGTCTTCTACTGAACTGGTCAACGCTCAAGCAGGCCGCGGCGTCATAATCGGAAAGCGTCGAGGGAAACTGTCAAACAGGGTACCCAGGCGTGCCAGCGCTTCTACATCGCCGGTGATCTGAAGGTCATTATCCTGCATGAGCGACGCTGCGTCGGTCAGCCCCATCATCAATCGCTTGAACCCCATGGACGACGTTGTCACCGTGGCGGTGGGTTGGTCTGATGTTTTGTCGGGGTAGGCGTTTAAGACGCTGTGCCTGATGGTCATCAGCCAGTGCTCATCAATATCTGTCATGTGCAGATTCAAAGCCAGGTCGAGACCTTCGGCTGCATCGGGCAATAACCTGACTGCCATCACCTGAAACAGGTTTGCTAACGGCATGCCGCGGGCCATGCCTTCACTGGCGTTGAAGTTGGAGCCTTTGGGCAGGCCTTCACGCAGTTCCAGAGCGCCACATAAATAGAAGTTACGCCAGACTGCAGATTCTGCCTGATAGCCCATTTGTTCCAGCGCGTCTGCCAGTAAGGCGCGTGCATCAGTATGTCCGGGGTCGGTCATCATCACATGATTAAGAAGCTCGCCGACCCACCGATAGTCACCTTCGTCGAACGCAGCCTGTGCCAGCACGACCACACGATTGGCGCCACCCATGGCATCTACATATCGAGTTGCTGCTTCGCTCGGGGGCAGGGTATGCAGGGTTGCCGGGTTGCCATTGAAAAAGCCAAGGTATTTAACATACACCGCGCGCACGTTGTGGTGCAGGCTGCCGTAGTAGCCACGGTTGTAGAACTCATGGCCAAGCACATCCGGCAGGCTGATGCGTTCCGCTATTTCTTCTTTGGTATAACCCTGATTGGCCAGTCGCAACGTCTGATCGTGGATGTATTTATACAGGTCACTTTGTTTCTGCAGGTATTCAACGGCCTCATCCCGTCCCCAGATGGGCCAGTGATGGCAGGCAAACTGAATCTCGAGTCGATCACCAAATAAGGCAATGCTTTCGCGGATCTGGGCCGACCAGGCCAGAGCGTCGCGCACCTGTGCGCCACGCAGGGTATATACATTGTGCAGGTGGTGTGAGGTGATCTCGGCCATACACAGCGCTTTGAATTGTGGCAGATAGAAAACAAACTCTGCCGGTGCTTCTGTGCCTGGCGTCATCTGGAACTCAAATTCGATGCCATCCAGAGTTCGTGTTTCTCCTGTCTGGCAGACGTAGTCTGAAGGCACTATGAAACCGGTTGATCCCATTGACAGTGCGGCCCCCAGTCCCGTTGATACAAATGCCTGGGGTCCTGGTTTCAGCAGGTTACCGTACATGTACGTCGCACGACGTCCCATTACGTTACCCGCCAGCACGTTTTCACTTAACGCTTCCTGCACAAAGTGTTGCGGTGCGACCAGCGGCACCTTGCCGGAAGCGACATCTTCGGCGCTGACAACACCAAGAATGCCGGCAAAGTGATCAGCGTGGCTGTGAGTGATTAACACCGCACTTACCGGGCGCTCGCCAAGATGCTGATTCGCCAGTGCCAGCGCGGCAGCAGAAGACTCGGAAGAAGTCAGTGGATCGATGATGACCCAGCCTTTTTCGCCTCTGATCAGGGTCATATTTGCGATATCAAAGGAACGTACCTGGTAGACGCCGTCGGTCACCTCATACAAGCCGTTGTAAAGGGCGTTGAGTTGTGCCTGGCGCCAGAGGCTTGGATTGACCGTCGCAGGCGCTTCACCCTGCAGAAAATCCATCTCGCTTAAATCGTAAGTGACGTGCCCGTTGTCTCTGGTGATGGTCAAAGGTTCAAGCGTGGCAATAAATCCGCGCTGTGCATTATCAAAAGAACGCCGGTCGCTGAACGGTAGTGTTTGCTCAACAAGGCGCTGTGCAGATTGTGTGTGCTGTGTAGCTGGTTTGGCTTGTTGCTGCTTGCTATCCAATGGACTGTAATCCATCCTGGTTTCCCCCACGTATGTTTGTGACAGGTTGCGTTTGGCTGCGCTTGTTACGCCGCTGGTCGCACGCGCACGTCAACTTTCAAGGCCTGGGCACCGCCGCCGAGAATCGATCCGCGGGTAGGCGCGACATCGGCGTAGTCCCGCCCCCAGCCCAGAGTGATGTGTTGTTCAGACGTTATCAGGTCGTTGGTCGGATCAAAATCGATCCAGCCAAATTTAGGGCAGAAAACGGAAATCCATGCGTGTGAGGCTTCCGCGCCGACCAGGGTTGGCTGGCCGGGGATCTGACTGAGAATGTAGCCGCTGACGTATCTCGCAGGTAAACCCAGTGCACGGATGGTGGCAATCGCCACGTGGGCGAAGTCCTGACACACACCAATTCGTTTGGCGATGATCTCAGAAACCTCGGTATACACATTAGTCACGCCGCCGGTATAGGCAAATTCGTTGTGGATGTACTGATTGATGGCCAGTACCAGTCGCAGCACAGGTGCTTCGGGTTCGATGAACTGTTGAGCAAACTCGCGTGCAGCGTCTACATCAATATGCCGCGATGGATAGCAGAATTGTGCTGCCTGCCAGTGTTCGCTGCTCTGCGGCACCTTCATGGCGTCTACCACAGATTCCCATGTCGGGGAGAGATCCAGCATAAAATCACCCCGAGGGATGACATCCACCAGACACTCGGAGTCGATACGAAGCTTCTTGTGTGGTGTGTGCAGGCGCACTTCATGCACGGTATTGCCAAAATAATCCTGGATTTCCTGAATTTCAGTACCCACCAGCGATAGATTGATGTGGTGCTCCAGCAATGTCTGGCGGCCGAACATTTCTCTGGGTTTCAGGCGTAGAACCTGTTGTGCTGAAATCACCGGCATGCCGTAGTCAAATTCTGTGCAGTGTTTAACGCTATATTTCATTGTGAGCTGGGTAAGTTCTGTGTGTGTGCAAAATAGGTTGCTGTGACCAGTTCAGATAGAGTCCCGAGGGTGTTGGATAATCTTTTTAAGACGCGGCGAAGCTGCGTGCGATTGCCCGCCTTAGAGATGACATTGGCCATCTTTTCAGGTTCCGCCAGTACAAGTTCATGATAAGCAATGAGCAGAATACGCTGGGATTCGCTGAGGCCCTCATTTGACTGGTCAAGAGGCATTTCCGCCATCACTTCCTGCAGCTGGGTAATCTGATAGATCATTGAACGCGGATTGGTTTCGTCGAGTAACAGCAGATGTAACAGATTTTCCAACGTTGGCACATTCTGGTATCTGGATCGGTAGGTAATTGTGCTGTCGCAAAGGTCCAGCAGCAGGTACATATAGGTGCTGCCAGTACTGTGCGACACCAGTTCGTTCATCACCCGCAAGCCAAACTGACCGCGCTCCAGGCGGCGCCCAAGTTCAAGCAGACGCCAACCGTAACTGCGGGTCATATTTTCCTGTATCTGTCCGCTTAAACCGGACAGGCGCTCAATCAGCTGGTCCATTAATGCCAGCGCATCTGATACCTGTCCCAGGCGCCAGCGCTGCTGTGCAGGTGTCTGTGCCAGCGCGCGAAACATCCGCCAGGCGTCGCCAGATAAACGCTCGCGAACCTGGCTGGCGAGACGGTGAATGTTGTTGAGCAGCTTAAACAGGCCCACATTACTTTCCGGATTAAACAGCACCGACCACCATTCGCGAGCAATAACAGTTGTTGAGCTGACCTGGGTAAGCTGTTTTGCCTGTGCCAGGGTGAGCATGTCCAGATCCACCAGCAGTTGCACCGCGGTGTTCAGCAACATCTGCTGATCGTCGCTGCTGCCTTCAACCACATGGCTGAATAAGGAACGGTAGGCGCGTACTGCGCCTTCGCAACGCTCCAGATAGCGACCCAGCCAGAATAAATCGTCGGCAGTGCGACTGGGCAGATCCCGGTCGCTGCGCCTGGTCAGATGGGTGGGTTGGATCTCTGGTGTGTTGATGGGTTCCACCTGATCGCGACCGAGCCAGATGTCTTTGCTGATTTCTCCATCAGCGCTGGCAACGCGAGCGATGCCACCGGGCATCAGTCGATAGCCTTCTTCAGTCATACAGACAAACAGTCGCAACACCGTTGGGCCGGAAACAATCTGCCCTTCGTTGTTGACATAAGGGCTGTGAGACAAGTTGATCAGTTCACGTCCAATCTGGTTGTAAGCTGCGGTGTTGGCTTCGGTGTCAGTGGTCTGCAGGTTCGGATCCTGATAACTTTCAATGGTGCTGGCAAACAGTTCCGGGCGTCTGAAAGCTGAGCCAATGTGCAGTTGGCTGGCATTTTCGGCGACGTAAGCGGCTTCTTCAGGTTGGCCACACCACCAGGTCGCCAGGCTTGGCAGCAGTAACTCTTCGTCTAACAAGGATTCACATAAGCTTGGCAGAAAGCTCATAAACGCATCATTTTCAAGGACGCCGGAACCCAACGCGTTGGCGATGTGGACCTGGCCGCTGCGCGCGATGTTGGCAAGCCCTGCGACACCATCTTTACTGCGTGGGTCCAGGAACAGCTGGTCGCAGCCACTGGCCTGGGCATGTCGCAGCAGGCTGCCTACGGGCTTCAAACCCTCCAGGGTTTTTAACTGCAGGGTTTGTCCGCGGACAGTGAGGTCAGCACCTTCCACCACCGGGAAACCAAAATACTGGCCCAGATAAGCATGTTCAAAATAATTTGAGTGATCCGGTCCTGGGCTCAGGATGGCGGTGATGCCCTCAGGCGTTGTTTGTGCCGCCCTGTCAGTGAGATGTTGAGCGAACGCGCGATAGAACGCAGCCAGACGCTGGGTGCCCATCTGCTGAAACAACTCGGGCATTGCCTGGCCGGCCAACACGCGGTTTTCGAGACACATGCCCAGACCCTCTGGCGCTTCTGTCCAGTCTGCCAACACGCGCCACTGACCGTCTGGTGAACGGCCGATGTCAAATGCCAGCAGCTGCAGGTATTCAGCGTTTGCAGCGCGGTAGTTGTACATGGGTAACAGAAAACGTGGATTACCAAACAACAGCGCAGGGGGTAGACCACCCACGTTCAACAGGGTTTTAGGGCCGTATAAGTCGGCTGTAATTCTGTTGAGGAGTCTGGCTCTCTGGGTAAGTCCCAGTTCAAGCTTGCGCCATTCATGTGTTGGCAGAGTAAACGGCAGGGGATCGAGCCTTGTAGGGCGTTTCACATCCAGGTCGCGGACCAGCATCTCGGCGCGCAGATGCTCAGGTTGCGGAGTGCCACCGAGACCATCGGAACTGGTAAAAAAAGACATGACGTCCCGCCAGTGTCCGGGTGTGGCGCCCCGGGCAAGTTCATCAAAAGCATTGGCCGGCACCTGGTAATGGTCCAGCGGCTGAGAAGTATTGGCGGTCATTGGGTGTGACATGGGCTATTGGGTACTGTTGGTTGTTTTCATGCGAGCCCAATAGTTATCTGCCGCGGCAACAACTTTTGGCGCGAGCCATAATGCAGAGACCATCGTCGGGATGGCCATCAACGCAAAGCTCGTGTCTATGATACTCACTGCGGCGTTTATGGAAATAACTGAGGCGACCAAAATAAACCCAACGTATACGTAAAGATAGTAGCGTTTGTTGTGCGCGCCAAACAAAAAACCTGTGCACTGAGCGCCATAGAACGAGTAGGTGAAAATAGTGGTGGTGGCGAAGCAGATGACACAGATAAATACAATCAAGGTGCCCGCCGGGCCAAGTAATTGAGTAAACGCGGCAGCGGTAAGGGTGACACCTTCAGCATCACTGCTGGTCCAAACGCCAGAGATCAGAATCATCATTGCGGTGGCCGTACAGATAATGAGGGTATCCAGGACCGGTCCTAACATAGCCACCAGGCCTTCACGGATAGGCTCCTTTGTCCGCGCGGCTCCATGGGCAAGGGATTCTGTGCCCATACCCGCTTCGTTGCTGTAGGCGCCACGACGAATGCCGTAAAGGATCATCGCCAGGAGCCCGCCGCCGGCCACGGCATCGCCGGTAAATGCATCTGCCATGATCAAGGCTATGGCGCCTGGTACAGCATCTGCGTTCAGAATCAGAGCCAGGGCAGCGCTACCTACGTAGAGCACTGACATTGAAGGCACCATTGCTGCGGCAACGTTTGAGATTCTTTGTATCCCGCCAAATACCACGCTTGCCGTCAGGGCAGCCAGTACCACACCGGCGGCTAAATTGAACATCAGGGGGTCTGTCTCCGGTGACAGCAAGCCGTATTCAATGGCCACCAGATCGCGGAAAATCTGGATCAACTGGTTGCTTTGTAGTGCCGGCAGACAGCCAATCAGGCCCGTGCCTGCAAACAGATAGGCTAGAAAATGCATGCGTTTTGGCAATGCCTCCCGGATCACATACATAGGACCACCCTGCAGATCGCCTGCGGAGTCTTTGCCGCGATACATAACGGCGAGGGAGCAGGTGAAAAACTTAGTCGCCATGCCAACGATGGCGGTCATCCACATCCAGAAAATCGCCCCGGGTCCGCCGATGGCGATGGCCAGAGCGACGCCGGCAATATTACCCATGCCGATGGTACCGGCCATGGCGGCTGACAGCGCTTTGAAGTGACTGATCTGACCAGGATCGTGGGGATCGTTGTACTTACCGCGCAGCAGATCGATGGCATGTGGCAGATAGCGAAACGGGACAAATCGGGACCGGATCAGAAAAACCAGACCGCCACCCAGAAGCAAAACCAGCAGCCAGGGGCCCCACGCCAGATCGGCGATTGAGGTGGTTACCGCTTCAATTTGATCAATCATGTACTGCAGGTGCTTTGTTAAAGGAAGCCAGCGAGGTTAACGGTTTCGAAAGGTAACTTCACTAGCGAAAGAGATTGCAAGCTAGTTTACAAATGCGGGGCGAAGTCTGGCCGGTAGACCCGGTTTCGCTACCGTTTATCGTGCTGATCTGGCGGTGTATCGCGCATCTGCTAGAGTGCAGATTCGTTCCTCTGGCAGCAGCTTATGGCAGACACGACCCCATCGACAGCTGAGCAACAAGCTCACAAATTTGATGAAGGTCCGTTAGGTAAAGTCACTGCGTATCCCGCGACCTACACACCTTCTTTACTACACCCGATAGACCGCAGCGCTGCGCGTGCTCAGGTGGGTGTGGCCCAGGCTTCACAATTACATGGTGAAGACCTGTGGACCGGTTATGAGTTTTCCTGGCTGGACACTCAGGGTAAACCTCTGGTGGCTGGATTGCGTATCCGCATCCCGTGTCAGTCCGCTGCCATGGTAGAAAGTAAATCTCTGAAACTGTATCTGAACAGTTTTTCGCAAACCAAGTTTGAGTCTCAGGCTGCGGTGCTGCACACCCTGGATCAGGATCTGAATCTTGCTTTTCAGGCGCCGGTGATGATTGAGATCATGGAGCTGACGCAGCTTGCAGCACCGGTGCATCAGATGCCGGGTATCTGTCTCGATGATATTGATTTGCGTACAGACACCTACGAGCGTGAGCCTGCGTTTCTGATGCTGGAAGATGTTGATGTCAGTGTGCATGAAACCCTGCACAGCCACATTTTCCGCAGTCTATGTCCGGTCACAGCTCAACCTGACTGGGCGTCGGTAAGCATCGAATACAGTGGTTCGCCTATTAACCGGGTCGGTTTGTTGAAATATCTGATCTCTTACCGGAACCATCAGGCTTTCCACGAAACCACTATTGAGCAGATTTTCTGTGATATTACAGCGGCCTGTGCACCGGCACGTCTGGCTGTTTACGGTCGATTTCTACGCCGCGGTGGATTGGATATCAATCCTTTCCGGGCGTCCTATGAAGCGGAGGCACCTTTGTGTCGGCTACCTCGTCAGTAAAGTGAGCGGAAAGCAGGGGGCAGCTTATGCGTTCAGTCGCGGTGGTCCGGTGCAATTACCGATCGCAGCCAGCCCCACCAGGTATTGTCTTTTCTTAGCGCCTGATCCAGCAGTTTGACATCCTGGCTAAGGCGCGCATGTTCGGTCAGCAAATCAGCTCGGCTGATCATCTCCCGGGTAGGGTCCAGGTTTTTCACCACACTCGCCGGGTTGCCTGCTGCAACAACATTGGCAGGCAGCGATTTGGTCACCACTGCGCCTGCACCCACAATCGTATTGTCTCCAACTGTGACGCCTTTACAGACAATGGCGCCATCACCTATCCAGACATTCCTGCCGAGCACAACTGCGGCACTGGCGCCAATTGGACGTGGTCTATTGTATATGCCATGCCAGTCCGCATCGGTAATGTAGACGCCGGCGGCCAGCATGGTGCTCTGACCAATCACCACTGAGGTTGCGGAGTCGATACGTACACCTGGACATAATAAAGCGTAATCCTGCACGTCTATCGAGCCTTCACCGTCTTCATGTTGCCAGGTGGTCAGGCGCACGGTGCGGTCAGCGGCGGTGACCACGTGCACAGCTTCACCCAGGCGGATGTTGGGACCGTAAATTTTGAAGTGCCAGGGTTTCATGATCATGCAGCCGTCACCCAGCTGATCCAGCTGAGGACGAATAAAATGTCGGGTCCAGTTTTCTTCAAACAGCCCCAGCAGGCGCTTCAATGCAAAAGGTTTCTGGTCGCGTCGCAATCTAGCGCTCGCTTGTCAAAGGTGGGGTTTTGTACCTGCTCTGGCTGAAGCTGACAAGGGGTATGGTTTCAAGCTGCGTCTTCGGCCGCTTCCGCGGGTTTTTCCCCTGCATCAGCAGGTGGGATCGTTTCGCTTTCATCAACCCCCAGGCGCTTACGCAACTCGGTATTTTCTGTTTCCAATGACTGGATGCAGGCCATCATTTCTCGGCTGTCCCTGGTGAACTGTTGCAGCAGCTGTTTGAGCTCTTCGGTGCGATCTTCTTCGCAGTTTCCGTCAGCGATGGCTTCTGCCGCAGCTTTTGCAGCCTCGAGTTCAGCTTCCAGCGCTGCCAGCTGTTCAGTCTGGCCACTGTCGACGGACAAACCGCCGTCTGCAATGGCTGTGCGCAGCAGATTTTCCATATCTCCCTGAGGTTCCAGGGCATGTTGCAGAACCAGGCTGATCACCGGCGTGGTGGTGCCGTCTGCCGGCAGCGCAGCCAGCCGTTCCTGCACCCATGCCGCAGGGCTGGGCGCAGTCGCGTCGTTATGTGCTTCCAGAGCCTCTCGCAGCTGCCCGTTCTGCTTTGAAACACCGCGCAGGCGCAGCCAGAACGCAAGGCATGTGCCTACCGTAATGATGAACATCTGCACCAAAGCAAAAATGGACCATTCCATCTGCAGCAACAATCTCTGGATTAACCTTCTATGAGTATAGATGGTGATTTGTGAACGTGTGGAATGGGCTTAGGGTTGCCCGATAAAGGTCCAGTTCAGAGGCTGATCAGCCTGAAATGGCACTATCGGCGTACCTGCGGCATCAATCAACGAGGCAACTGTCTGTTTGCGGCGTGCCAGAGTAACGGTGCCTTCGTTGAGTGGCAGGCCATAGAAATTAGGGCCGTTCTCAGCGGCAAACGCCTGCAGTTCAGGTAGCGCACCTTCCTCTTCAAAGACGGTGGCGTAACACTCAAGGGCAACCGGCGCGTTGTATATGCCAGCACAGCCACAAGCAGTTTCTTTGTCGCTCTGAGCGTGAGGTGCGGAGTCTGTACCTAGAAAAAAGCGTGGGTTGCCTGACGTAGCAGCGCGTCGCAGTGCGCGCTGGTGTGTTTCTCGTTTCACCACAGGCAGACAGTACAGATGTGGTCTTATCCCGCCGGCAAACATGTCGTTGCGATTGATCATCAGGTGGTGCGGGGTAATGGTTGCGCCAATATTTGTCCCGGCGCTTTCTACAAACTCAACCGCCTGGCTGGTGGTGATGTGTTCAAAAACAACTTTTAATTCTGGCAGATCAGCCAGCAGGGGTTGCATGACCTCTTCTATAAATACCGCTTCTCGATCAAAGATATCGATGTGTGCGCTGGTGACTTCGCCATGTACAAGCAGTGGCATACCCATCTTCTGCATCTGCTCAAGCACTGGATAGATGGCCTTTATATCGGTTACACCATGGGCGGAGTTTGTTGTGGCATTAGCTGGGTAGAGCTTTGCGGCAGTGAACACACCGCCCTCAAAACCGGCTTGCAGTTCGGCTGCGTCAATCGCATCCGTCAGATATGCGGTCATCAGGGGTGTAAATGCGACATCTTCAGGCAGGGCGGCCAGAATGCGCTGTCGATACGCGCTTGCTGCTGTGCAGGTCGTGATCGGCGGATCCAGGTTAGGCATGATGATGGCGCGCGCAAACTGCCGCGCGGTATGTAAGGCAACACCAGCCAGCACCGATCCGTCACGCAGATGCACATGCCAGTCATCCGGCTGCCGTAAACGGATGTTCTCACCATCATCACTCTGCACAATGGTGTCGGAAGACGTGTTATCGGATGACATAGCCGGCTCCACGGTCGGTCTCAAGGTCCTAAAAATGGCGGAGAGAGAGGGATTCGAACCCTCGATAGGGGTTACCTATACACACTTTCCAGGCGTGCGCCTTCGACCACTCGGCCACCTCTCCGGAATTTGGAGGCAACCCACCCAGCCACACCTAAGCGCCCGAAACCGCTGTTACCGTTGCTCCCTTCCGGGCCTGGCGGAGTTCACAGCATATCGCCGCTAGGGGACCAAGATGGGTCACCATAGGGGCGCGTATGCTAGCGGAAAAGGATGCGGATTCATATATGGTTGCTCAATGCGATTACGCCAGATGTCGGTACAATGGCGGCGAAATTGGGGGGGTCTTATTGTGTCACTGAATCGAGGCCGTTTTGTGCTGCTGGCGGTGGGTGCTATTACGCTGCTGGGGATGGTTGGTGCCTATCAACTGGATCCGAAAGGCTTTGTCAGCGCACCCTTGGATTATCTCTATCGGGTTGTGCAGCTGTTCGCAGTTGAGGGTGATTGGACCGCTGGTCACAGTCAGCTGCCACTGGCGCTGGAAATTGCCAGATTTGCCGCGCCGATTGTTACCATTGCATCGCTGATTGTTCTGTTTGCCGAAGGCATCTGGACCGCGCTGATAAATGCCCGCGTGCGCTTCTACAAAAACCACATTGTAGTGGTGGGGTTGTCCGCATCAGCCATGGAACTGGTGCGCAGCGCACATCAGCGCAAACTCGACGTTGTTGTTATTGAAAAAGATCCAGACAATCGCTTGATTCAAAACTGCCGCAGCTTACTGATACCGGTGTTGCTTGGTGATGCAAAACACACAGAGTGGTTGAAAAGGGCACGGGTGGCCCATGCGGGTTCATTGGTGTCGTTTGTGCAACTGGACGACGAGAGCATTGAATTGTCGTTACGCGTTCAGGCTATGGTGGAAGATCGGCGCCCTGACCAGCTTCCGCCACTCAAAGTCATATTGAAGTTGCACGACATGCAACTGGGCAGTCGTCTCGAAAGTTATCCGAAATTCTTTGAAAATCCACGCAGCGTTGAAGTGCGCTTTTTTAATCTGGACGCGTTGGCGGCGCGCTCACTGTTTCGTGAGTTTTATCCTGAAGTCTATGCTGATGCAATGGGCCGGGATCATGTTCACATCGTAGTCCTGGGTTACGGCAGTCTGGGCAAGCAGGTCGTCATCAATGCGTTGAAACAGGCGCACTATGCCAATGACAAACCGTTGCAACTCACCATTGTTGATCGCGATGCGCTGATCAGCGAAGAGACCTTTCGGCGCGAGCACCCGGGTGTCGAAATGGCCGCGCAGGTGCTTTTTGTGCCTATGGAACTTAACGCTGAAGCTTTGCGCGGTGAAGCC